ACTATAGTACATTGCCTGGGGCGTTGTTACAAATTCATTCATTTCTTAGTTTCACAGCATGATAAATGATCACAGATAAATTTCTCATAGTTTCTGAAAAATCACATGTCATTGATTTTCAAAATTTCTTTCCATTTGGGTTGTGGTAGAATAGTTAATACAATCAGTTTTACAAATCCTAAGTCTATGTTCTCTTGAAATACCGATATCTGCCTGTTTCGAGAGCTCATGTCAGCTACATCAAGATCGAGAAAGAGCTGTTCTAAACTTTACACTTAATATATAAGGTTCTAGCATTATAGTAGTCTTAAATGTAGTGTCGTAATTTGCTTTTGTAGAACTGGACTAGGAACCATGCCATTTGGGGATGTTCATATCTTTTAAGGCCTGTGACAAATGGCTGAAAGAAAATATAACCATGTGACCACATTCGGATATCATGTTTTTAACTTTTGATGCCCAATTGTTTTTTACCATGGCATCATATTATAACATTTTCTAGGGTATTTTGAAGATTGCATATTTAATACCTTGACCCAGTATTTCATAATGTTTTAATAACTATAGATATTCATTCCGCATTCAGCATATATTCTTGCGTTTTCTGTACTAGATTTTACCACCAAGAACTTTTAACATGCATATAAATGTCTCTTTTCATTAAAATCCAAATGTTTTAGGCCCTAAATTTCCGATCCTTACAATAAAATCGGGATGCTTTTTGTATGATACATTTAAAGTAAACGTTAAATGTAATATTGTCCAAAACTCTAAGACTTTTTAATATGCCTCTAAAGGTTTTCTTTGCCTGCAAAGCAATGTTATGTGCATTATTTGACCAAGTTAATCTACTTGTAAAAGACACAGCCAAGTATTTATAAAATGGAACAATTTCTACAAGTTTCCGTGTTTTCCCATGTTTATTACTCAATGTTTAGTGTTTTCAGGGGACCCTCCTCGATGAATTGTTCCTGATGGTCTTTAGCCTTTGTCTCCATTTTTGAATTGTTCATGTAGAAAGGTATCATAACATTTATATATATAGTCATATTCAGATGATGTCTGCATGTATGTAATGGAAAACTTCTCGAATTTAATCAATTTTCCTCCTGGCTATTCTGGGCATGTGGAACATCGGCTTTAGGATTACAGATGTATCATAGTATTTTAATGTGATTTGAATATTATTCTTCACCATCTTACTATATGCTTTACATGAGACATTTATGTCACCATAAATTACAATATTACTGTCTGTAAGCTCAACACAACTGACAAATTCTCTGAAACACATGATTGTAAACTATTAATGTACGTTGAAAAGACTATATACTGAACCGCAAAAGAAACGTCACCATGGATTTTTAATAAGAAACCTTATTTGTCCAAACACTGTCAACATACTTTGAGACATATTAAAAAGATGAAACTTGGCAAAACTGATCATCAAGGTTGAAATTAAAGTGTCAAATGTTCTTAAAGTGAAACAAAACACTAGTCTCTAAGAAAATGTCATCACAAGTCAGTATCTCGTGTGTCCGCCATGTGCATTGATGACGGCCGTGCAACGTCGATACATGGAATGGATGAGGCGGTTGATGAAGGCCATAAGCACTTGAGCCCACACTCTGAGGAACGCCTGACGCGGTTCAGCTGCAGTTGTCGGCCTTGGTCGGACGTCATTCAGGTGTCTTTGAATCTCGTTCCACATGTGCTCATTAATGGGATTTAAATCGGGACTGAGGGCAGGCCACTGCATGGTTCTGATGCCATTCTGTTGGAGGAAGTCTCTTGTTGCTCTCGCAGTGGGCATTGCCTAAAAGTCGGGCCAAGACGGGCCAAAGTGTTATTGGCTAATTACTTCATTATCGGCGATCATACCTACATATTATTGATGCAACATACACACATGACATAACAGAACAATCACCAACCAAAAACGTGAAACATAATTAGGTATTTCGGAGTAATTTCGCTTGAAATCCAGAAAGTGGAGCTGTGTGTAAGCGTCGCTGATCTAGGTAACATGTAAAAGAGCAATCGTTAAACGAAAAAAGATTTGAAACGTATCAAATACTTCTAGCTATCGCAATACAAATTTCCATCTGTCGGCATAACGTTTATATTTAAAGGATAGTACTATATCTATGTAAATACCACTTAATAATGTCACTGTTCATCGTGTATAAAGCAGACACGTTGGTCAAAGTAGACCTCCCCATACTCCCAACAGTCTCACAAGTGTTCGGTCCGACTTGGCCCGGGCTGTCAAAATCAACTTAAACCTCACGGATGTAACATGAAATGGATTCACACCTATAGATTAGTATTATTTCTACCTAAACATCTCTTTATAGTGTCTCAGATCGCGGTTTGTAAAGAAAACAAGGTGCTCAAAGTGAAGCCCTTTTCCCTCTACATTCTCAACATAGTCTCTATTAGAAGTGTTTGGCTTGTGCTCGGTCCGACTTGGCCCGGGCTGTCAAAATCAACTTTAAAGACACAGATGTATCATCAAATGTGTTTATATCTGTAGCTTAGCATTGTATCTACCTATAAACCACTTTATAATGTCACAGTACATCGTATTTAAAGAAAACAAGGTGCTCAAAGTGAAGCCCTTTCGCCTCTGCATTCTCAACATAGTCTCTATCAAACGTGTTTGGCTTGTGGTGGGTCCGACTTGGCCCGGGCTGTCAAAATCAACTTTAAACACATAGATGTATCATCAATGTAGAGGGAAAAGGGCTTCACTTTGAGCACCAAGTTTTCTTTACATACCGCGATCTGAGACACTATAAAGTGGTATATAGGTAGATATTATAACATTATTATTTTCTCTTTGAACATCTATAAGATGTACAGCTACATGTATTTACCTTAAGAAAGAATCTACGTTTTTACTTCATTAAATAAACATTCACTCATTGAACATCTCCAACAGTTTTGTCCATGTTGAGATCCACTGAAATGGTTAGTTCACTTGTTACATTTATATAGAACAGAACGATATTTGTGATTAAATATGATTGTTGATACAATTACCTTGGCTATATTTTAAAATTCAACAAGAGCTCGCGTGTGGTTTGTTTGGAAGCATAAAATCAACTATTGTTTGTAAAAACCATTTGTGTGTGTTAATATATATGTTTTTTTAAAGGTAGAGGTGTTTGAATAAATAATTATTTGTGTGTTCACAAACCCCTATCATGTAATTATATTTTCCTGAATAACGTAAAATAAATGTCCCTGTTCACCTATGTAGAAAGTCAATAAGCGAAATAAATCTGAGTAACAGACTGTGTATTATAGATCCATAGAAATACGATTGCATAGACGATCAATTCAGAATACAACAGATGTAAGCTGTGGCTAATTGAAATGTATTTCGCAGGTAATAATCAATAAACATTGTGACAGAAAGACAAGTGAAGGATTGAGTTGAATTTTAGTTTTGCGAAAAAGGTCCGTGGTTTCTGTGGATGAAACTGAGTTTGACAATGTTGCACATGATCACTTTCTTTGACTTCATTAAGGATTCCTCAACCTGTATCGAGGAGAATTGTTTACAGTTAAGTAAAATTCTAATTAAGATTTCTTAAAGCTGTCACGGTGGCAAATTCAAACTTCGATATCATGGTACACAGTTCTATTGTAAAGTCAGATTGGGAGTTCGAGATGGCGCTATGTGTTTTTATCTCGAATTTGAAATAAGCGGTTAAATTTATATGTTTTATTTTGTTTTGTTTTTGTTTAACGCCACACTCAGCAATATGCCAGCTATATGACGGAGGTCATGCAAATAATCAATTCTAGCCATGTCAGTCCAGTGATTGACATCACGAGCATCTATCCACACAATTGGGATAAGATGACATGCATCCAATCAACCAAGTCAGCGAGCCTGACAACCAACCCGACCCCGTTAGTCGCCTCTAACGACAACCGTAGTCACCTTTTAATACAAGCATTGGTTGCTGAAGATCTGTTCTAACCCTGATCTTCACAGGTCCAAATCTATATGTATTTTTATGGTGAGGCGGTCGTGATCGGAGAATAGGTTCGAGAATTCGGTACACACATTCGTGGTAAATATCTCTCATGTTGTGGATGATAGGGATTTTGTCATGTTTTGAAGAAATGTCATCACTGTCATGCTTTTGATCGTACACAAAACGTAAGCTTTACCTTGAACATGCTAGTTCCGGTCACAAAATATATGCTTTACCTTTTTCTGATTTTTGTATTAATAACATTACAACGTTTCTCAAGGTTACAGACTCCAAGGATTCATTAAAGTGCATTTAAAACACCTAAAATTGACAACTGACACCCTGATCGCAAAACTCCTAACGATTTTTACTAAAAATAGATACGAAAACTTTTGCTGAACCCGAGATTTGAATGACTGACAAAAACGTACTTTCTTGTGTTCTCATACATAAAACAGCAGTGAAAACATGATCTAACATGGCTTAATGTGGAATGTGTCTAGGATTGTAAACTGTCCATATTATTCCAAATTGTATGCATACACATGTGTCATGTCTTTATTTGGTTTTGTGTCTCTACCCGCTAACATATGTGGCAAGATACACCTTCCAGTGGACGATGCTTTCTGAAGGTCAATCCAGCACATCGTTGTTGGCGTTGTCGTTTTTGTCGTCTACGTCATTGAAAACACGGTGCTTGGATGCACGGGCGAGGGCTGGGCGGTTCGTGATGGATATAGGACGCCAAGGCTGTTTTAGACACAAAAGACTGTATTTCTGTTGGATAAGCACATGGTCAACACTCCTGACTGGAGGCTGCCATTTTGGTACATATGGAAATTGGAAAATGGTAAAGGAAACGAAATCAAATATAACAAAAGTGGAATTAAACAACGAAACGAAATAATAGTCATTTGGGCTCAAAAGGCTTTCTGACACGGCCGCCCCCAAATTTAGGCACTAAATTTGTCAATATCTGAAGAAAGTCTTTCCACACTGGAACTAGAGTCAATTTTCGTCATCCGCACATTCCGGTAGTGGGATGAGTCTTGTGATTGGTCTGGTGTACTCCTTGTCTTTCACACTGACAGTGGCAGTGCGAACACATCCATCTGTTCCAGGGTAGGTTTTCGTGACTCTACCAACAGGCCACTGAGCTCTTAAGAGCTGTGGATCAACTATCATGACAACGTCATTCATCTTCAAGTTTTGTCTTTCTTTCTGCCATTTTGTGCGCAGCTGCATATCAGGAAGATAATATTTGACAAAGTGTACCCAAAAGTGGTCGGCCAGAACTTGACTGTGGCGCCATCTGCGTCTGCTTAAAAGTTCATCAGCCGGATAGACGACTTGTGGAAGAGAAGCATCATGGCGGCCAATCAGCAGGATGTTTGGTGTAACTGGGTCCACATCTCTGACATCTGATGAAACGTAGGCTAATGGCTTAGAATTCACAATCCCTGCCACCTCCGCTAGAATGGTACGTAACACAGGTTCTGTCACTGTCTGATCTCCTAGTGCCACTCGGAGGTCATATTTCACAGATTTAATCTCTCTTTCCCAAACACCTCCGAAGTGTGGTGCATGAGGAGGATTGAACACAAATCTGACCTTATGGCGAGCCAGTTGTTCAGCAAGGTCTGGTTCCATACTTGCAAGTGCCTCCTGCAACTCTGTTTTAGCACCTCGGAAATTGGAACCTTGGTCTGAGATGAGTTCGTAAGGTTTGCCTCTCAGTGAAGCGAATCGGCGAAATGCCATGAGGAATGCATCCGAGTCCATGCTCCTGAGTATGTCTAAATGCACCGCACGGGTGGTCATACATTTAAAAATCAAACCCCATCGTTTCTCTGAGCGACGTCCAACCTTCACATGCATTGGTCCGAAGCAATCAACTCCCGTTGAGAAGAATGGTGGTTTGAAAAGTCGCAGACGTGGTGGTGGCAAGTCAGACATTTTCTGTGTCCTCGGGTTTGAGCGCCATTTCTGACAGGTGGAACACTGACGCTGATGGCGTCGAATCGCTTCTCGTCCCCTCAATATCCAAAATCTGCGTCTTATCTCTGCGAGTATACGCTCCTGACCATAGTGTAAGAGCTTCTCATCTTGATCCCGGATGAGCAACTTTGTTATAAAATGTTGTGGGTCAAGAAGAATTGGATGTTTGATGCCTGTATTTAGAGATTCAGCTCTCTGTAAGCGTCCTCCTACTCTGATCAGATCTGATTCTGCATCATAGATAGGGTCAAGCTGTAGGAGCCTGCTGTCTGGAGGCAATCGTTTACCTGATTTTAGTGATGTGAATTCCTGGGGGAATGATTCTATTTGCACTAGTTGATAGAGATGGTTCTCTATTTGTTCAAACCGTTCAGCGGTCAGGGGTTGAGCATTTTCCGGGAAGGTCGCCCCATCAAAGGACTCTTTAACATCAGCCACAAACACGTCCCAGGAAGTGTACTGTCCTGCATCTGGCAGCTGAGGTGTATTCACAACAATTGTGCCACACATCACAGATTTCTTTATCTCTGTGTTGTCAGAGTCTATTGTCCCTGGGGTAACTGGCCAATGATCAGGTGTCTGGTGCATGAAATCTGGCCCATCCTTCCACCGCGATTCCTTGCAGAGTTCTCTGAGCAGTTTGCCTCGAGTAATGTCATCGGCAGGATTTCTCTGTGTGTCAACATACCGCCAGTTCTGTACATCTGTGAGATTCTGGATTTCAGATACTCGTGTTCCAACGAATACCTTGTATCTGCATGATTCTGACTTCAGCCAACCAAGTACAGTAGTAGAGTCACTCCAAAATATCACTTTCTGGATTGGTAAAGTTAATTCCTTGCACAACACATCAGCTAGCTGAGCACCAGTGAGGGCTGCACATAGTTCTAGGCGTGGCATAGACAGCTGTTTCTTTGGGGAAACCTTCGATCGTGCCATAAGGAAACTGACATAGATGTTTGCTCCTTCGTCTGTTGTGCGCAAGTATGCTACTGAACCATACACTCTTTCAGAAGCATCACAAAAGATGTGTAGTTGTCGGTCTGCACTTCCAGAGTCCACACTATGGGGTGTGTAACACCTTGGTAGAGTAACCATTGGGATTTCTTCTAGCTCCTTTTCCCAGGTCAGCCATCTTTCACAGATGTCCCCCTTTTCTATAGGGTCATTCCAGTTTCTCTTTGACTTCCACAAGTCCTGTACTATGATTTTGGCTCGTGCAAGGAATGGTGCCAAGTAGCCGATGGGATCATACTGACTAGCAAGAACCCTGTAGATCACTCTCATGGTAAGCTCTTCATACTCTATGGTTCTGTGTTTGTAGGTGAGCTCATCAGATTCACATTTCCAACGCAAGCCTAGGGCTGGCTCCAGTGAGTCACCCTGGCCGAGGGTAAGCCAAAGTTCTGTATTTTCCGATCTAGCATCGGACGGAAGGTCTGCCACAACGGATGGAATATTGCTGGTCCACTGCCTAATGTTGAAACCACCTTGTGCAAGCAAGTCTCTCATTTTCCGTACAAGTTCCTTGGCTTCTGTTGCTGTAGGTAGGCTATGCAAGCAATTGTCAACATAGAATGATTCCTCTACAGATTTGAGTACTTCTTCATTGCCAGCTTTATGATCCGAGACATGTTTCCATAAAGCATAACTGGCACAACATGGCGAGCAGGTGGTGCCGAATGGTAGGACTTGCCATTCGTACACATCTGGAGGGCGATCATGTTCCATGTTTCGCCAAATGAAACGCAGAAGAGGTTTGTCATGAGAAAGCAGTCTTACTTGATGGAACATGGCTTTTATGTCTCCTGATATAGCAACTGCATGTTGCCGGAACCGAAGAAAGACACCAAGCAGTGATGATCCGACTGTTGGCCCAGGCAGAAGGTGCTTGTTCAAGATTTGTCCGTTGTGCTCGAAGGAGCAGTTAAATACCGGGCGAAACTTCCCATTGTGTTCAACAATGTGGTGAGGAAAATACCAGGATTCTTCTGATTTCTCCACTTCCTCCTTGGTGAGTTTCTTTACATATCCTGCCTCAACTAGCTTCTTGATTTGGTCATTGTGGATTCTTGAAAGGTCCGGACGATCTCTTAGTCGCCTTTCAGTGCGCCTGAGTGTAGGCATAACCATTTGTTGATCTGTTTTGAAGCAGATTCCATCCTGTGTGCGTAACAGTGGGGTGGCATAGTGACTAACACCATCGACATCCATCCTGATAGTTTCAGATTCTAGAGTCTCAATTGCCTGTTTATCCTGCTTGGAGCGTGTCACATGTTTCTCGGTGAAAGGCAACGTGTCGATTTGCCACAATCGCTCAATGCTCTCCACAAGATCTGAATTATTGGTGCTGTGTATAAGCATACACTTGGTGTTCTTTGGTCCAGATTCACTAGATAAACCCTGGAGGGACCAACCAAGTTTGGTAGACACTGCAATAGGCGCATTGATGGGTCCAAACTGAACTGGTTCATTGGGAAGAATGAGATGGGCATTGTCCGCTCCAATGAGAATAGTTGGCCGAGCTCCATCAATGTTAGGTATTGGTAACTTTTGCAAATGCGGCCAAAGCCTTTGCAGGGATTCAACTGGATATGTGTACTCGGACATACACAAGTTATCTGCAGTGAAGGCACCCTTAATCTTGTACCTGATGTTTGGTTTGCTGATAGGAGATATTTGCAGGTCAACTGAGTGTCCATTACACCTGAATGGCTCCTTGTTGATTGTGGTAAGCAATATACTGTCCGGCTTTGTCTGAAGTTTTAGGTCATGAACGGTTGATTGTAACACCATAGTTCTCATGGAACCGTCTTCCAAGATTGCATGAGTCTCCATCATACCACTTTCACCATATAGCAACACTTTGACAACCTTTAGCATGACATTAGGAGGATATGAGGGTTGATCAGTGTACACTTTGTCTGTACTGACTTTCACAGAATACACTTTGGAGGCTGTATGCTGTATAGCCTCATGCAAGACAGTCAAGTGCACTTCCTTACATATGTGACATGGTTTCTTGAGGGTGCACATGTCTGGCTGATGTGTGCGCCCACATTTCCAACATCGCTTGCCGTCATGTAACCAGTCATGTACCTGGTTCACTGTTAGTTTCTTCAATCCTGGACATATATTCAGGAAGTGTTCATTGCTGTTACAGTATGGACAGAAAGGCTTGGTCACGTGACTCCTAGCAGAAGATCCAGGTTTCTGTTCAAATGGTTTGGATTCCCTTGCATAGAATAAAGCCGTAGGTGCAGACCCCTTCTGACTTGTCCGTGACAGATACCTCCTGTCAGGTTTAGTACTCTCCATTTTGTATAGTGCTGTGGCCTGGTTAGCTATACGCTTTGCACGTGATTTTGTCTGCAGCCAGTCTGACAAATGACACAATGTGTAGGTCTGGTCACTGTCAGCCTTGAGGATATCACGGTTGATACAATGTTCTACAAAACTATCTCGATAACCTGGGGGTAGCTTGCCGATCAGGCGGTCAACATGTGACCCACATCTCAGTTCATAACCAGTCTCTCCCTCAAGTGACTTGAGCATACCGACAAGGGAATGGACTGATAGGGCAAAACTGTCAAACCCATCAAAGTCACCATATCTTAGTGCTGGCATATTCATGAGTATACCAATCTCACTTTGTACAAGTTGTCTCGGCTGACCATACTTGTCCTTCAGTGCTTGCAAGGCTGCTGTGAAAGGTTTGGGATCATGCATAAATGCCTCAGCTAGGCGCTTCGCACTGCCTCCAAGTTTGTCAAGTAAAACTTGGTATTTGTACTGTTCCGTAAGGTGTGGATGAATATTCACCAGGTTATCCAGTGCCATCTTAAGCAAGGCAAAGTCTTTTTCTCTTCCACTGGTGAAATTGGGTAATGTTGGTCTTGGTATGCCATAAGATGAGGAAATCAACAGTTCGGTGAGGTTAGGTGTGCCAACCTGAGGTATCATCCCAGTAATCGCTGGCAGTTGTGTTGGTTGTTCGGTTGGAGGCAATGTAGGAATATCTGGTTGGAGCGCTTGATGCTGTTGTGGCTGTGACTGTTGATATGGCATATTCGGTAACGGAAATGCTTGAGAATCCAAGAACAATGGCTGAGGCACTACCATTGCTGGTGGAAAACTTACCTGGGGGTTGCTCCTTGGATATGAACCAATACCAGTACCATAACCCACCAGGGAAGGTTGCTGTGTAAGTACACCAGTGGCTGTTGGGAAAGTACTTGACATGTCGTTTGTTGTGATTTGTTGGGCACTGTTTAACATCTGACCTTGAAAATAGTCATTCTGTCTGTATACTGGCATACAAGTTGTCAGGTTACCAGGATTAGGGTTAATCACTTGATGAAGTACACCAGGATGTACTCTGTCAGATGGATCTGGTCCCCGCTGTATCTGGTTCCCAAGGGTTTGACTGTCACCAGAGGGTAAAATTTGGGAGGTGTCAGGAATTGTAAGCTGCTCTGTATTATTAGTATTACTTACATTGCCAGACTGAATGGCATTAGGGTCAGCAGTAGGTGGGACCTGTCGAGTTACTGACTGTATTTGAATGTTACCATCAAAACTTGGTTGTTCTGTTAGTTCCTCTGGAGGTTGTACATTTTCTGCATTGCTGTTGGGGTCTTCATTTACCATGGTAGCAATTAGGGTTGCTTCAGCAAAGTTCTGTTGAGCTTGTCTCAGTTGTCTCTGTCTTGACAGTTGAGTATTTAGTACCTCTCTGCGGCGAATAGCGTCACGCTCTATTTCTTCTGTCCGTCTCTTAGCGGCATTCACCTCATCCTCAGCGGCTAAGCGTGCAGCATAGGCCTGGTCATCTAATGCCTGCAATTGCTCATCAACTCTGAAATCCTCCTGCATCCTAAGCACGAGTTCGTCAAGCTGAGCTCCTGTTCTTTGCTGTCTTACCACTGCAGACTGAGATTCACTTAGTCCAGATATCACAGAAATTTTTGAGGACTTACTTCTTGAACCAAGTGACCTTTCACTGTAACTAAGACTATGTGATCTGGAAGATCTAACAGTATTAGTATCTGGTTGTAACGCCATGTCTTCAGATAATTTACCTCAAAATTAAAGTATTTGAATCTGTGGCTTGTCGATATGTTGATGATGACGTGACAAAGATTGGCTGCCGGGCTTAGAACTTACAACACAGGTTCAACGTTGAATGACAGTTGCAGGAGTACAGTTCTAGAATCAGTTAATGTAACAGTTGCATATGGCGAACGTGACTTGGTAACAGGATATTTGGCACGAGATATATACTGTCTCATGATTGAATCTGGGGTTTACCATTCACTGGCGGGATGGGTAATGCGTACGTACAGCGCACTGTTTATATTTGGAATTTGGCGTCACCTGGTTATTGTATCCGCCTCGCGGGAACATGAAAACACGGTGCTTGGATGCACGGGCGAGGGCTGGGCGGTTCGTGATGGATATAGGACGCCAAGGCTGTGTTAGACACAAAAGACTGTATTTCTGTTGGATAAGCACATGGTCAACACTCCTGGCTGGAGGCTGCCATTTTGGTACATATGGAAATTGGAAAATGGTAAAGGAAACGAAATCAAATATAACAAAAGTGGAATTAAACAACGAAACGAAATAATAGTCATTTGGGCTCAAAAGGCTTTCTGAAAGTCATCATTATCCTTCAAGGATAGTGGACGGTATGGACACTGGAATATTTCGAATATTTGGAAATGTGTGCATTTTAATTAATACAAACACTATTTTAAGCGTCAGGAAACGGTATTTTTTTTGTCATGAATGGCGAGTATAACAACTTGGGAAGCTAGCTTGACATTTCGTTAGTACGGTCCTCATACTGTCTTTGCCTTGTTTATCCTGAATCTCATTAGTTGCAAAAGAAACAGATAAATCGGTCATACAATGGTTTCATTGGATTTATCAAAAAGGACCATATCAGGGTTGTTCGCTTGGATACGTCTGGCTCTGTATGTGGGCGTATTCCAAATTTTTTTAAGATGTAATTATCATTTCCCACGACGCCCTCTGCATATTCTGGGTGGTATCATTGATGGTCTCGGAGTCAAAACCACACATTACGGTAACAAGAGGATCGAACCATGCCAAAGATACTGTGTTTGTGTCAAGCTGGACATCAACTTTGACACAAAATCACACATCGACGTTTTCGAGTAGCAAGTGACTGGTTCTAGGTCGATTTGATATGGCACTTCGCTTGATTGACACTCATTTCTGTACCGTCCAGCACCATCAACAAAATAAACATTAACATTGATATTCAGTACTGCACCAATGGGTCGTTTAGGAAAATCCATTGAAACCTATGACATTCGCGAGGACATCCACTTCCAGAAAACATCCTGTGTTGGTTTAACATGAATTAGTAAAGGTTAACTTGGGATGCCCAACACGTCAATAAATGAAAGAAGAGTAGTCAAACACTATCGTTTCCTGCCCAGGACATCACACCCCTACACGCTGAGGTCGGTGAGAAACATTCTCATCAAAGAAAACACAGTCAAAACACTGACTTTTCTACGAGGACTCACGGTATGTACTCATAATTATCAGTTTATTACATTGTTGATGTGCTTTTTGATTCAAACTCAATTAAATGAGAAAAACTACACGTTTGTGGACATTTGAGATCTGCCTAGATATGCACGTTTCGTTTTATTATTCTGCAATCCATTTTTAGTATTTCCCGCTGGCCCGGCCCGGCCCGACTTTTCTTGGCCATCTGATTGGCCTTTAACAGTTGTACAAGGCGGAGCACAAAAGCATCGTTTTCCCGTCCAATTTAAGCTTGAAAAACTCGACGCTTTTCCGGACACTTTCTAGACGCTAACAAATTTATCAATTTTCATGAATTTTTAGTCGTTTTTCCGCCCAATGACCATATACGGAAAAAAACGACGTTTTCGTGTTTGCAGTGAAAAGTGTCTCATGGAATGCCACATAGGACTGAGCAAAGATTGGAAAAGAATGTAAGAATTGCGAAGGGTTTCAGATAGTCATCCCTGCAATATTAATATGTCGTGCTCATCCATTTATTAGTAATAGACCATTTGTGTGCCTTTGTCATGGGCCCATATGCAATGACAATAGACAAACACTTTTTCAACATCTCCTTTGGTGTTTTGAATCGACGAAGTATGCGTGTTTTTAGACGTGATTACATGATTAAGGTCTTATCATAAAGATCCCCTACATCATCCGTTATTTAAAAGGTCTTTTGGACCCATTCCCAGTTCTATATGCGATTGATACACGTCCCATATAGAACCTTTCTATAAAATACATTTGCTTTGTCTCAGTCCTAAACTCGATGAGTTTATAAACCTGCACCTGTCGTTGATATGATATCAACAATAGCCCATAACTATGTGAATTAAAATCTGATTTTCGAAAGTGGCCTAGTTTAGTCCATATCTACCGGATCGAAAGGGAGTCACAAGAAAACATGCAGTACTAGTTCATGGCCAGGTCAGAATACAACTGACCCAGATTATAGGACAGAAAAAGTGCTCTTACAGTACGACACATAGATATATTTGATAAGGTGAGGTGAAATTGGGTTTAACGTCGCGTCCAAGAATATTGCACTTATATAGCGACGTGCATGCACGTGTGTGTGTGGCTGCGTGTACTAGTCCGGACTGATGCCGATTTATAGTGCTAGCCCACTGGGATACCATGCCGCAGTTTAACATGAATACCCCACTCAGACACAGTATACTGACTCCGAGCCAACCAGTCCTTGTTTAGGCCCCTTAATGCCGAGCGCCAGACAGGGTAACAACAAGTACCATCTTTTAGCGTCTTTTGGTATGACGCGGCCGGGGAATATATTTGATAAGGTAAATGGAGGCCAGCACTATTTACCCTGTAAGTTCAAATTGTCAGCATAATAGACCGAGAACTCTCACTGGTCTTACATAAACATCTGATATCGAAAATAAATATGTGCATACTTCAGCAGTACACCAGACGGTGCAGTGTAATGAAGAAACCACACAGAACGGAACACTTGATACGAAAAGGAGTGAAGTGATAAAGTGAATTCTTCAGTACTCTGTCTACAAGTATATCGTGACTGTCTGTAATTACCCAGAACCAGGCACATCAATGGTTTATAGAAAAGGTTCAAACATCGAGACAAACAATGCTTGCTGAGGACATATTTCTTTACGGCGTCACAGAAGGGAGACATGCACTGTGTGCAAGGATGACTGTCCCTCCGAACCGCAGAGTGATAAGACGAAAAAGAAATCAGATGTCGAAAGCCAAAACAATCTCACACTCATGACACACAGTAATAGATATACATTAAATGGGACGCGTATATTTGAAAATTTATAATAACTCTAATCCAGCACCTAAATTGAGTGAGTGAGTCGGATTAAGCGCCGCTTTTAACAGTATTTCAGTTACATCGCGGCGTGTCAGCTAAATGTGGGAGGAAAGCCCAAAGTGATGCAGGTCTCTCTCTGACGTTTACCATTTCGGTGAAACCCACGAGTATGGTGCTGACAAACCTAGAAACATAATCAGGGCGAACCGGGATTCGAACCAACAATCATAGGTTTCTGGCGTGCCCAAGGGACGCAACTCTGCAGAGCGAATCGCAGCGCCTTAGACGACTGGGCCACCACTGCCCCTCACCTAAACTGCAAAGCGATTGACTAAACACAACCACGCTGTTTTTACGGTAGTTCGTGCCTTTCCAAATTGTATGTCCCTTATTTCTGTGATTTAACTATGCTGGTGTACTTATGGTTCGTGTTTATATAAAAGCTAACATACGCGGACTCACACCGATGATCATTTGACCATTCATGCTACTGTAAATATATAACTCAACCGATATTATGAAATGGGGACGTTGTTCGATCCTAGTTGTCAAAGCAATCGCTCGTCACACCAAAGTTGAGGTGAAATTGGGTTGAACGTCAAGTTCAAGGTTATTGCACTTATACTGTGACGTGCATACCTGTGTGCTTGTGTGGCTGCTTGTACTAGTCCGGATATTAATATTGCATTTTAAGTGCTAACCCACCAAGGCACCATGCCGCAGTGTAACATGGATGCCCCACTCAGTATACTCCGAAACGACCAGCCATAGTTTTAACCCGTTAATGCTGAGCGCCATGTAAGGTAAAAACAAGTACCCTTATAAAATGTTTTTTTGCCATGACGCTACAATCACTGGATTGTCTGGCCCAGGATCGAATATACCCGTTAATATTGATCGCCATGTAAGGTAAAAACAAGCACCATGATAAAATATATTTTTGCTATGACGCTATAATCACTGGATTGTCTGACCCAGGATCGACTATTTACAGACCGCCGTCATATAGCTGTAATATTGCTGAGCGCGGTGTTAAACAACAAACAAACCAAAATCAAGCTGATGACATCGTGTGTGTAAATGTGACCACAAGTGGATGCAGTGAGACACAACATCCAAGTTCAGCATATGTATTGTCATAAATATTATTATTATAAATGCAGTCAACGTTTTCTATAATTTGTTGTACATAACTAAAACTTGTTTTATCAGCCTGATAAAACATTCACTTATTATGCCGGTAAACGACTGATAATTATATTTTCATCCTCTTTGATATCCTATACTAAGTAGTCATTATTGCATTCATGTTTCGGTTTAAAATGCATCGGACAAACACTTTACTCGAGGAATGATTCAATAACATAATTCATAGTTGGATTTGACTTGAATTTATCATTTAACTAAAGCATTTATCCATGACATAATCTTATGACATAAAAACATGTATGTCATACCCAAATGACATAAGTATGCAAATTAGATAACCGGAAGTGGGGCATTTTTAAAATTTTATTTGAATGTACAATCACGAGAACAACTAGTACTGTATCAACTTTACGGACTTGATTTTCATTGCGACGTCATCTCCATGCCATGTTGGTTGCCACTGGCCTTTGTGGTTCCAGAAGTCCATCATGGCCGTGGGGGAGCCGTCTCTCCATGGTTTACCATGAGCAGTATTAATCCAAGAATCCTGGAACCATCCGCGACTGGAACCTACAGCCACATTCAAGATCAGGGACATCTGGAAATAAACAGACACTTCATAAATCAACACATACATATACAATCAGAGGAGGTCGGTGATGATTGATATTAATTATCGTGTACCTCTGTCAGCAAAATTGAATAAGAAGATTAAATAATGTAAATAATGAATCTGTTACAACTTGTCGCTATTTAGCTTGAACAAGGAACAACTATTGTGTAACATTATTATAAGCGGCATCCCTGCCTGTTTAATGTAGTTACACTAATGGGGTTCTAAAGCGTTTATTTTTAAAACGGCCTGTAAATACAGTGCGTACCTTTCCATCAAAAGGTGCGTCTCTACCTCCACTGCCCCAGAGGTTGTTTCCGCCATAGTTGCTGTAGGACCAGTAGCCCTGGGAAGGCGTAGACCAGGCCAACACTGGCTGGTTGTCTACGTCCATTCTGACAACAAGATAGTCATACTTCGATATGTGACACCTCAAAATCAAATACAGTAAACTACGGTTACAACGAACTCAAAGGGACCACTAACTTTAGTTTGTTATAACCGTAGTTCGTTATAAGCATATATACAGCATAACTATAGCAAATAGTAGGGACAAAAAATCGGTTCGTTTTTCCGTCAGCTCGTGATAAGCGTATTCGTTATAAACGTACTTTACTGTAGAGGATATGATCTTTAAATCTTGATATATTTTTTTTTTCAGGCTTGGCTCTGGTTGCAGTTGATTTTTGAAACATCTGTGTTATATATTATGTTTATTATTGTTGTTACCCTGTCTGGCGCTCGGCATTAAGGGGCTAAAACAAGGACTGGTCGGCTCGGAGTCAATATACGGTGTTATGGTGGGGTATTCATGTTAAACTGCGGCATGGTATCCCAGTGGGCTAGCACTATAAATCATAAGTCCGGACTAGTACAAGCAGCCACACACACACACACACGTGCATGCACGTCGCTATATAAGTGCAATAATCTTGGACGCGACGTTAAACCCAATTTCACCTCACAATCAACACAGTGTTGCTAGACACATGTATAATACATGATCGTGATGCGACAAACCTGATATGGTCAGCCGTCCAATCAAGAGTGTATGTATGAAAGCCAGCAGCCCAGTTCGTCCCAGCGGCGCTAGTTCTGCAAAGAAAACGTCGTGAAGTTACAGTATATGGGTATGACGTGATACTATGCGATACATCATACGTGACTCGGGGTTACCCGTTGTTGGACGCATCCGTGCTATTGTGGATAGAGCGTCTGTCCGGAGAGGAGAAAATCGGTGGTTCGATCCCCGGCTGCATCATACCAAAATACGTTGAAAACGGTACTTGTTATCCTGTCTGGCGCTCGACATTAAGGAAGTGAAACAAGGACTGGTCGGCTCGGAGTCAGTATGATGTGTCTGAGTGGGGTATCAATGTTACACTGTGGCAAGGTTCCTCATTGGGTTGACACCGGCATGTGTCTGGACTAGTACCAATAACCACATACACACATGCATGCACGTCGCTGTACAACTACAATAATCTTGAAAACGACGTTCACCGAATTTAACCAAATGGTGCTGACAAACCTAGAAACATAATCGGGGCGAACCGGGATTCGAACCCACAATCACAGGTTTCTGGCGTGCCCAAGGGACGCAACTCTGCACAGCGAATCGCAGCGCCTTAGACGACTGGGCCACCCGTGCCCCCTTCACCTATTGTAAAGGCTCATGACAACACAATGTGCTGTATCTTAAACAATATCGATACATTCCATAAACAACTGTATGTGATTTGATTAATGGTTTATCATGAAATTATGGTCTGGCGGGAAATCATGTACAATTCATCATATGGTTTTAGCATACGATGAGATATGAGTGGTGTTTGATACAGAACTTTCAAACTCCTGGCTCTTCAGTTGTATATCAAGACAAGTTATACAATTTATTCTTATTGTAACTTCTTCGATATCTTTTAAGCGCCAGCTATAGTTGTGTCCAAGTCAAGTTGTGCTTTAAGGATTTCATGAAGAGTACAAGGTATACAGTGATAAGACATGATATTTCTTTCTTCTAAATTCTTTTGTAAAGACATGAAAACGTGTTTCAATATATCATTCGCAACTGTTCCACAAATACATTATTTTGATTCTATTGGCATTGAACCTAAGCGGACAAGTATAAACTTATACCCAATTGCGACGATGCAAGCCTCCGCCATCATACCTGAATGACGATGTACGCCTACCGCCTCATACCCAATGATGACGATGCACGCCGACACCTTTATACCTGAATGACGATGTATGTCACCTCCTTATACCCAATGACGACGATGCACGCCGACACGTTTATACCTGAATGACGATGTATGTCACCTCCGTATACCCAATAGCGACGATGCAAGCCTCCACCATCATACCTGAATGACGATGTACGCCTACCTCCTCATACCCAATGATGACGATGCACGCCGACACCTTTATACCTGAATGACGATGTATGTCACCTCCTTATACCCAATGACGACGATGCACGCCGACACCTTTATACCTGAATGACGACGTATGCCTACATTGTGCATGCACCTGTATGCGGAATGACATCTTCCTCTCATGTCTTCAAGAACACTTACCTCCAATGCCCTTGCTGACGATGCCTCCCAGTATCAGGTCCCCAATGGATTGTAGAGTACACAACATTGATGCCCTGGTCATAACCACTGTGGTCCTTCAGATCCAAGTTACCTTATCACATAAAACACTGAATTTTACCGACAATTGACGTTAAGATCAGGGTAGAGAAAAAATTGCAACCCATGCTTGCCGTAAGCCTACTAACGGGATCGGGTGGTCAGACTTGGTTGATGCATGTCATTATATACCAATTATGTTGATCGATGCTCATAATGTCAATGACTATATTGTCTGGTCCAGACTCGATTATTTATAGACCACTGTCATATAGCTGGTGTATTGCTGAGTGCGGCGTTAAACAACAAACAAACACATAAAACATTTGTTATGTTTCTCAGAGTACGTTCCTTCATAAAATATGTAATATAAAATGTGCATTGTCGTATTAAGTTGAAATGATTTGTCAAATGTCAATCTAATATACATTCACGTTGTTAAAACTGTTCTGTTGTTAAAATATCTACATTTCAAATAGCATGTGACGTTATGAATTCTCACCCCTTGCTTCCATGATATCAATTTCACCGGAAGCTGGCCATCCGCCATATTTCCATGGCCACCCAGGAGGCAACATCCATATTGCTATTGAACAATAACAACAAACTCGAGTATATACGAATGTAGCATACTAGCTCCACTGAAATGTTTATGAAATCAGTTTAACTTGCTGGAACCTTTACACAATCAATCTAGATCTGCGGAATTACTGTGCATTAATAAACAAAAGACATAGCGTTCTGATTATGAAAAGGTTATAATCTCACCTGGCCAAAGCCAGTCTCCCTTTGGCAGCTGGGCAACCACCTCTACCTTCCCGTGTGTGATCGATGCCTTGGAAGTCATTTTGGAAGACATGATTGGGGGGATATTGTTCTGGGAGCCCTGCCGGTAGCACCCCCCTTCGTTGTCCGAGGTGCACACTGCCCATTGTTCTACACACAGGGAAGGAGTCTTGGTATCAGATTATCACAAAAAGTTATTTGAAAATAGAGATAGAAAACCATTGCACCTTATCCTTCCTTATTGCGCTTGGGATTTTATACTGTAACAAATTTCGGGGTGAGGGGGTGAATATTCGGGGGATATGTTTTTGTAATGAAGACGGAGCACAAATGTCCTTAAAATAGACATAGTAAATAATATTTCATGGGGATTGTCATGCAAAACTCTTCGATTTCTTATTTCTTTCAATTAGTTTCATAGTTATATAATGTTTTGATCACATATATTAAACCTACTGCGGACGTCCATTGTTCCATGTCGAAGAAAGTTTTCTCCAAATTTGTCTGCTGTATAGGTCTGAAAGGTGCAGCATATTGGTCATGTTTTGTTTGTTGTTTAACGCCGAACTCAGCAATATTCCAGCTATAACCAGTTTCGATAATCCTTTGAAACAGATTCAATTGGGCGTTAAGGTCCAAAGAAAATACCTGTGAAAATTATTTAATGATCATCAAAAACATGTAAACACATGTTTTCTGTCCCGATTATATACAGTACAAACGGAAGAAACCAGAAATAATAAGGTTTCATTTCCATATAACAGTCTTATCTGGTAGATTCACCAAATTAAGTGATATCAGAACATTTTTCTTTTCACACGAACTGCCGTTTTGAGGTGCTGACCGGTTTAAGGTAGAGAACGCCATTCCTGATGAACGTGTTGGCTGCTTCGGGGGTGTACATCTGAAACTCTCCGTTCTGAAGCAGAAAAAAGTCACTTGCTTCAGGCAAAATGTAATTGTTTTATTAAACATGTTTCATTCGTACCGTACCTGGCTTTTTTTAAATATTCGGCACCATCAGCACCATCATCATTGCTCTAACTTTGCTTTTAACTTTTAACCTGTGATTGATATATCATGAGCATCGATCCACGCAGTTGGGATACGATGACATGCATCAACCAGGTAAGCGAGCCTGGCTCCCGTTAGTCGCCTCTTACGACAAGTATAATCACCGCTTACCACACCCATGAGTTGCTGAAGACCTATTCTAGATCTAACCCGGATCTTCACGGGTACATTAACATTGTCAATTGAATATGGCGTATTATGCTTTTAATTATCATTATTGAATGAAAACCGTCTGGAACATTTTTTCCCGGTTTTCTTTGTTTGCATTGTTTCAACTCTGCAATATTCCAGCTGTTAAAATGTGAAAAATCTGGATCAGACAATCCAATAATTGATATTATGAGGAATGACCCACGCCATCGGATGTTCAGTGCCATGCAGTCAGCCATTTACATCAGCTTGATAACCCGATCCATCGTCTCGTTAGACAGGCACAGGACCAATTAAACCCAAAATCCCATCGAGGTGGCATGTCCTGTAAATGTGGGTGTGAATTAGGGATCTGAACATCTTAGGGTGATAACATTCTGAACAACTGCGAACTGTCAGCTTACCCCACCACCCCAACAGGTAATCTCTTGGTGCCAATTGTTCGTGTCCAGATGGTTGGAGTTGAATTCATCATGTAAGACAGTGGTACCTCTCCTGTACAATCGGGGACTGAGGGAAGTCTCGCCTACAACAGAAACTTTACACCTGCACCAAAACCATTTTAAGGTTGGTGGCATCTTCTCAATTTGATTTCTGGAATCTTTTGTATACGCAATGATTCACAGAAACGTCTTATGATGTAATCGGAATCGTACAATGAAGATCGCTTTAGTAGAGATTTCTTATGATTTCATTTTATTTATGTAAATGTACATTTTGTATATTTCTACAAAATTACCTGCAATCCTCACATGCTCAGTGGCTTCAGTCTGGTACAGTACATCTCCCGCGTTGGACATATACTTCACAGAATATTCCACGCCGTCCCCTGGTGCTGTGAACTCACACTGGTAATACCCACCGACTGAAATGTAAAATTTACTTCTGTTATAACAAACTGAGTAAGGTGTAAGGTTCGGTGTTTACCAATAATAGATATACAGTGTATTTGCTTAATTTGTGTTGGTTGTTTGTTCAGTTACATTCATTCGTGCATTGATATGCAATGTCTATAAGGTTAACAACGGAATCCCAGTCATGTTTAAAGCATGTTCCTAAATGTAAACTGAACGGATAACTTACTTCTGTGAACAATCACACTTTTTGTTGATAAGATTTCATGTTGATTTCCCTGCTTGATCGCATATGTGAAATGTACAGCATCCACTCCGGGTATATCTGAAACATGAAGTTTGTGTAATGTAAAACATCCTATTAAAGAGTTATATATGTCTGTATCCCAGCACATATCCTTGTGGAAGGACACAACGTTAGGTATGTGAGTGAGTATGGTTTTACGACGCGTTCAGCAATATTCCAGCAATATCACGGCGGAGGACACCAGAAATGCGCTCCACACATTGTACCCATGTCGGGAATCGAACCCGGGTCCTCGGCGTGACGAGCGAACGCTATAACCACTAGGCTGCCCGACCGCCCCGTTAGGTATGTATCTTTGGGTATACAGTAGAACAGATTTATAACGAAAGCGGAGCAAGCGATTAACGAACTGGTCAAATTCAGCTGAAGAGCTGAATAGAGCTAATGCCCGGGACCACCCACCACCGTCCTCACTTGTTTGTGTGTTGTTTAACGCGCACTAAATAATCGTGTCTGAACCAGAGAATACCGTGATGGACATCATCAGCATCGTTCTACGCAATTCGGATGAGATAACATGCATCAAGCAAGTCAGCGAGCCTGACCACACGATTCCGTTAGGTGCCTCTAACGAAAAACACTGGTTGACGAAGACCGATTCAAACATTGATTGGCCTCGTAGTGTTAGAATAACAATGTTTATGTCATACATGTGAAACTCTCCTGACACTAATGAATGGCATAGTTGCACAATACATGTACTTTATTGCATATACGACTTAAAATGGCACTCTCGTCTGGGAAGAAATAATGACACTTTAGAGAATATTGTCTGGCGTAAATTCAACACGTATGCATTAGTTATACGAGTGGCCAATTGTTTGTCATCAATTCGTCTAAATGACATACATACTAGGAAATTTGACGCTTATCTTCCCATCTCGCTGACTGAAAAGTGGTCGAGGTGGTGCTGCTGTTGCACCCAATAACGAGATGAGGAGAACCCAGGGGAGGATCATGCTTGAAGGACTCCGCAGACAAAGTGAAGGTATAAGTAGTGTCGCACTTCGGTACAGAATCAATGATTATAGTTGGCCGAATATTTGCTTATCTCGTGGGAGGCAACATATGAGTAGTAGAATCGGTGACGCTTACGTAGAAATAGGCCGAAGAGAAGACATACTATGAGTACATGTACTATTTGTTAGTGATATGAAAATGAGGTCATATCTAACAGGATGTAATAATCGAACATCACATTATTTGTTTATCTCATGGCAGGCAAGATGTGAGTGGTAGAATTGATGACAAACTAGGCTGAACGGAAGAGTTCATATGTCAAAATGAGGTCATACCTATAATAAGGTATCAATTTCAATTAATACACATGATTGCATGTTTGTCATTACCTCAGAATACCTGGAAGTCTAGACAAGTCAAGATCGTCAATAATAACGCAACTTGATGCAATAACTATATTCTTATCAGTGCGGCTTGGGTCATAACCTCTTGACTAAAGTTCAATAGATCGAAGTAATCATATACTCCTCCAAATTAGCGAGTGAGTAAAATCAAAAGTCACATCGGCAGTGTTCAGCCATATCGTGACTTATGACATATCGTAAGTTATGCATACTGAATACATTTAAACTATAAAATCACCCCTGCTAGGATGTGCCCTAGTTGCACAAACGCGATAACAAATCAGCTATCGGTTTTTTTAAGACAGCAACAGGCGTGGACGGTCGAGGGACAGTTGGTCCAGTTGCTCGCTTAGGTTCACAGAGATGTTGTGTCAGATGTGTTCAATAGAAGTCAGTCAAGCGAGGTGTCAGTGTCTCGGGACAGAGCAGCTTGGCAATCACTTGTGCTCACCTCGCCGGTCCCCATCTTGACTAGTTTAGCTACCGGTGATTTTGCAATTCTTTCCGGGTAGAACAGAACTATATTACGCTCAGGCCGAGATCCTCGCCAAATGAGGTATGAAATGACAGCAAAATACACATTATAATAGCGGATATGTGGTTAGCCGGAAGATTTTACAATTTGCATTACATATTTACAGAATTTACTAAGGTTTTTTAATACAGATATCTCTTTACAAGTGAAAAGTCTTAAGTTTGAAATTTAATCATATTAGGTCTTTTAGAATATGTAGGTGGGATATACAAAATTCTTTCTTTAGTAAAATATGGACATTTAAAAATATAGTGGAATTCATCTCCAATATCATCAATAAAACACAGTTTACATTTTCTTTCACAAATAGGTATCCCATTCCATCTTCCTTTTTCAATTGGTAAGTGGTGGCATGAAGTACGAAATAAAAGTAGAGGCATAGCTTTATTTAGGGGTAGGGACGGTAAGATTTGTTTGTGTGCTCCGTTGCATAGAGTCTTGCTGGATGGTAAGTTTGTCACTGGTGAGGTTAATGTAGGCGTCACGGACGTATTGCCGATCTCGGGTGTAGATGTCTTGTTAGGCATCGACTCCACAGACAAGTGTTGTTCAGGTGGATGCATTCAGCCGTTAGTGGTTAGTCAGTTTTCGGTAGTGTCTAGTCCAGATAATCCAGAATTGTTCCCGGCCTGTGTCACTACAGACTGATGAGGTAATTGATTTTTTCCGACACCTGTGTGTCAGCTGTATTTGTCGAGGCAGGATCTCGTTAAGGCGAAGTCAGACAAGCCAAGTGCTGTTATTTTCATGGTCGCTTCGGAGGAGCTGTGACAGGGACAGCAAGTGATGGGGATAATTAGACAGATGTTATCCAGGTCAATTGGAATCAGGAGTCGTTATGTAGGGCTCAGAAGGAAGACAATTCTCTGAAGGTGATATGGCCTAAGGGTTGTTAGGTAGTCAGAATTCTGGAGAATGTTATGTCCATCAAGGTGTCCTAATGAGAAGGCATCCTCATTCTGAGATAGACGACAGCGATAGGACGCAGGTCGTGGATCCAAGGGAATTTAGAGAGGGTATTCTCAGTCTGGCCCATGAGAGCTTGTTTGCTAGTCATATTGGTGGGACTTAAACCTATGATGTAGAAGATTTCTGTAAGATTTGCCATGTTTGTCAAGTATAAGGAAAATCTAACCACGGAATTCACCTGGCCTCTTTTTGAAAATAGTTCCAATTGTGGGCGAGGCTTACTCCAAGGTCATTGATCAGGTGTTGAATTTCATGTTTAGACTATTTCAACAGGTCATGTTGTTGTTGGAGATACATCAGGTCAGGTCCAGTGCGACTCACCTTGAGTCTCAAGAAGCTTAAGAACGCTTTCATCAGAGTTTGAAGAGTATGCTGAGGTGTTTTTGTTTGGAGCATGAGAGGGAATGGGATGTAGGAGTACTGTATGTGTGTTCGCTGCTAGTGATGCTAGAATGGAATCTCTGTCTCTGGTCATACTCCCAAGGGCCCCTTGAAATTGGTAAAAGACCAGTGACTAGGCGATAATCCGTCGGAGAATATGTTATTGATGTAGGGTATGTTATCAGTACACCAGGTCGAGGCTGGAAGGAGAGATATTGTCACGTTAATTTGCTGAAGGTGAACAGAACTAGACGTGCCACACCAGTCAGTATAGTCACCCTCGAAGAAAACGATGGTCTGGTTGTACTGAACTAAACTAAGTTACTAGGGTTTGTAATGCTTTGCTTGTTTTGTTTGTAATTCGTGGATAACCAACGTTCCCGTGATTTCTAAGCTCTTAGAAACTAGTGTTTCCAATACTCTGTTTATTCTTGAAATCCGTGGATAACCAACCTTCCCATGATTAACTAACTGTTTGGGAACTTAAGTATTTCCCTGTTCAGTCAAAGTGACAGAATGTTAAGTCGGTTAAGACTAGTTCATATTCAGATGTAATCGTCTAGTTTTGTAGTTAAAGTGACTCATTTTAGGGATAAACTCTCGGTGTTTATTTCCCGTTATTTTAATGAGCCGAGGTTATTCACTCATTGGAGTGAGAAGCTAATTGACTCAGGTGTTAATCGGTCGCAGCCGACATAATAAGCAGTCTACGTACCAGGTCCGTATCTTGTCAAAGTGATGTTTTAGCTCCCTTCCTTTCTATAGCTGTAATAAAGAAGAAGAAGAAGAAGAAGAAGAAGATATTTTATTTAAGTGTCACACACATATAAATGTGTCTGGCAAGATTTGGCCTATGAGACACTACAATTCAATAAATGTCTGTTAAAATATAGTTTAAGATATTGGTTTAAAATATATTAAGGTAACAATGACAATTATCTTTCATGTATGCTGAAAGGGTGTGAAATTGTTAATAAATAAGTTAGTAATGTACATAATTATATATAAGCAAGTGTTTACAGTTGTTTGGCTAAAACTTGGTTGTATATTTGCGCTGAGAGAATTAATTTGTGCCCTGTGTGAGCGCAGATTGGATTTATTTTTTACTGTCAGCTATTGGTATAATTAGTTGTTATTTAATAAACCTGTGAACCTATTACCACGTTTTCTTTATCACTTTATTCTTATTTTATGACACATATGAACATTATGATCATTGGAGCACAGCTCCGTGACACCATACTGTAACACTTTTTTGTTACAAAAGGAAGGTTCATCTTGATCACGATGTGTTCCTAAATCGACCTCCTCTAAGGGTAGTAAATGAAACGAAATGTCGTGGTATTATAATTATTTTTTATAATACATCAACTTTTATTTTTTATAACCAGTTGAAAGCTGCATGTCTCAAGGCACTTGATATTCTTTTCATTTATATCATTTGGTTGCTCTGAGCTTGATTATTGTTCATTTGTCGAAAACCTTACATACAGAAAACATTCATTATCAAGGCTTTAGACTATATCTTCTATCAAATGTATTTATAGAGAAGCTGACGACCCTCCACTTGGTATTCGGAGAGATAAATTAGCCCTTCAATATGTGGCAATGCTGTGTTTTTAACCCTCCATGACAGAAGACAAAGCACTCTCCCACCACTTTTTGCTCGTATTGATACTTACTCGATGCAGATAGACACATTGTTAATATAGGTGACTTTCAAATGATCAACAACGTCAACATAGCAGAGTGTACAAACAAACGTTTATCTTGATTTGGGTAAGCAAAACAGTCTGATACATATTTGCTTGTTTTCTTATAGGAGTTTTTTCAGCTCAAAATTAAATACTCGGAATATGATGCTTTGGATAGTGAAGAATCTAAAGATGGAAAGAGTGAGTGAGTTAGTATGTTTTACGCCGCTATTAGCAATATTCCAGCAATATCACGGCGGGGGACACCAGAAATGGGCTTCACACATTGTACCCATGTCGGGAATCGAACCCGGGTCTTCGGCGTGACGAGCGAACGCTTTAACCACTAGACTACCCGACCGCCCCAAAGATGCAAAGAAAGTTTCGACCGCATGTGTCACTCAATATCTTTCAGTGTCAAACTATATGCGTGAAGACAGTTCCATATTCACAGCAGATACCAAAGTTATGACGCTGTCCTTGCACTCTATCTACAATTCACACAAAACTAAATCTGATTTTCAGATTTTTTCTGATAGTGTGTCATGTTTACAATCTATAAGACATTAGAAATCAGAACATCCTTTTCTACTTCGGCGTTTAGATATGCATGATAATCAATGTATGGTTGGACATGATTCATATCCTATTGGTTACCCACTCATAGTGGTCGTAAGAGGCGACTAACGGGATCGTATGGCCAGATTCGCTGACTTGGTTGATGCATGTCATCACGTCCTAATTGCGTAGATCGATACTCATAACGTCAATCACCGGATTGTCTGGTCCAGACTCGATTATTTACAGACCGCCGTCATATAGATGGAATATTGCTGATTGCGGCGTTAAACAACAAACAATCAAACAGTCATACGGGAACAAGAGGAAACAGTAAAGATGACACTGTAGCAAACAGGCATAAGAAAAAAACATGTAGGCCCAATGAAATGCCCATGTGATGACTTCACACCAATGACAGCAAATCGCTTTGTAGAGTTGCGTCCCTTTATGTTTCTAGATTCAGGGTTTGTCATCACCATACCCATGCTTGTGGGTTTCACCAAAGTTAAACGTCTTAGACCTGCATCACTTCGGTGCTTTGCTCCAACATTAAGTTGACACGCCTTGATTTTACTAGAATACTGTTCGAAGCGACGTTAACCCCAACTCACTCACTACCATTGTGGCCAACATGTTTCAATACCTACGCATTTGTCTCATCATTGTAACTTCTTAGCCCAAACAAGTACTCCTCAGCCATATTTTGGGAAATGAACAAAGTACAATTGTAAGAATATTATAAAATCTGGAGAAGGCGATGACATGAAGGTTAAACATTATTGAGACAGCAGAGACGGATTCAGGGGGTAGATATGAAAAGGAAGATGTATCACAAACTGAATAAAATACAATCGGATAAAACTACCAGGAACTTGGATATTTGTTGCTTCTATGTTGATGCACTCGTGAAACGTGCAAGTTCGGCCATTTGCCTTATAAAGCCAACGTCATGATAAAATGAGTGAAAGGATTGGGTAGCCCTGAACCTTATTTCCTGGAAGAAATTGATGTAGAGATCGTAGCATTATTCCAGCTATGTGACAGCGGTGTGTAAATAATCGGGTCTGGACCAGACGATCCAGTGACTGACGTCATGGGTATCAATCAATACAGCTGAGAATCGACGACATGACCAAGTCAGCGAGCGAGACCACCCAATCACGTTTGTTTCCTCTTACGAAAAGCATGGGGTGCTGAAGACCAATTCTAACCCGGATCTTTATTGTTATTATTCTTTGCATGATACTCAAGAAAAGTACTCGTGCTGACATACCGAGGGTCATAATCAGTTCGAATCTGACATTGAAGTCCACAATCCTCGGGCTAACCTTTGCACTCTAATGATATATGAATTCGTTTTCTGTCCAATACTGAGTAAATGAGTGGGTTATTGAAGCTGTTGAACATTAATAATTTCAGTCCTCTTGGTAGTCTCGTTTCGGCACAAATGTTATAAGTATACCCTCTTGTACATGTAGATCTGCTTAAACAAACTGCCCAAAAGTGTGGCGATATTTCAGATACAACATCTGTGATATCTGAGATATCAGGGCCTGTTTTCGAGTATGGCACATATCGCCATGAAAACATCAAAGGAAATGAAGGCAGATATTGGAAAATGATTTACGACAAAGCCATTCATTGATCGAGACTTCTATTATATTAAAACTTATAAAGACAAAACTCGGTACATATATTCTATATCACAAGGTGCGCTAGTAGCATTGGTACGGGGTCTCAGGGCAACAAATTGTACCAAAGAGGTAATGTTTTGTCTTTGATGGATGAAATAAAACAATATTTAATAATATTTCAAAATGGTAAGGCTGCTTACAGAAAGAACAAGAATAATCGATTCACAGATATGTTCTAAGGGGGGAAAAAATAATGTGCTACAACTTGGTTCTCGAGCTATTCCGATGGGTCGTCATTGTGAGTAAGTGAGTAAAATATGGACGAAGCTCAAAGACAGTGTTTCAGTCTGCAAGCTACCATGCTGATATCGTGAGTAAAACTATTGATATTTTATAAAATTCATTTGCTATGTTGAAACAAAGCCTTCATTTCTTTTATGTTCAGTATGCACGTATAGTATACCAGGCATAATATTCCAGCTACTTGAATCAAACCATTAACCTTGACACCTATTGTATATCCAAGAGAAAACGAGTTATTGAAAAGCAGTAATATAATGCAATGAGCTGAGACACTGGCCAATGCTCCGATTTATACACGGGCATACACTATTACCCGAAGGCTTCAAACAAACCTGTTCATGTAACATGAAGGGTTCTAGAGCTTATAAGGCATTTGACGTTCTTTGAAGGGGCGTGAGCCAAATGTTATGTCAAAGGTTAACTCAAACGAACCCGCTTCCTGGGTTTGAATCTCAAATTCACAGTCATTTATGTTGATGAAAGTGTTAGACATCGTAGACCCACGTTAATACTATCTACAGCAGCGTCAAATATGCTAACTCGGACTCAAACATATTTCAGCTGTACATGTTGCATTTGTCCGCTTGACACTGCACTCAGCAATATCACAGTTATATGCCAATCGACGCCTTCGGTGTACAGTGATACACAATTAGCCATGTCACCTAGCTTGACCACAGGATCAATTAATTAAGTTGCCCCTTACCTTGAGTATATAAAGTGACTGGGGGAAAACTCTGTGTGTGTATCTTGATCTCAATAAAGGTACCAGGCTACTCCACCCCAACCCCCAACCAGTCTCCCCCTCCATGTCTTCCCCAGGTCTTGCCTCAACCCCAACCGCGACGCCCCCCTCCCCAAAAAAAAACAACAAAAAACAAAACAAAAAAACCAACAACAAAAACAAACCAAAAAAAACCAAAAACCACACACACACACACAAAAAAAACGATCAGAGGGGCACTGTCCTAGAACCATCGTCTATCCTAATGCAAACTACATTAAATCGTGACCTTGATCTGCTATTTAACATTGTATTAAGGTAGTGCCATGGTTTTCACAAGACACATACAGATATCCTCACAGAATACCTCTTTTCATTTTGTCCATCCTCATACTATATGTCATCTTTTTCACAAATTGTAAGATCTTAAGATCGGTTATCTTGCAAACTATCTAAATGAACTGGGTCGACGAAACAATTTTTATATTCACTGTTATGAAGATTGTAAGCATCGGATAAGGTGAAATCACATTCTCCAGTTCAAAGGTATTTCACCCATTTGGTTGAACGTGATTATTCTTTGTCACAATATATTCATTTTATTGGAAAACGGACTGTATTGTCCAACATCACAATGCCATGTATACATTCCAATATATGTTTGAAGTGGTTATCACGAAATCAAACGTCGAATATTCTGGACTTTTATCTAAAGATCACATGTTGACTTTACAAAGGAGGCTTGAATGAAAGACTTCTGAAGGTTTTAACGATTTCTTGAAAGGACGATGAGAAACACAAACATTCTTGATTTGGAAATACATCAAGTATTTCAGGTATATAAAGTAAGTCCCATCCTACTTACCAACTCCATGAAGATGGCGCTCCCAGTGTGTATGTTAGTTACCCTCTTGGCTCTGACACAGAGTATCAAAACATCGGCCTTTCGAGGACTTGATTTTGCTTCAGTTTTTGAAGGGCAGAATTTTGCTCCTCCAGTCATAAATGAACAGAATCGTTCAACAGAGAAAACGTCAAGTTTTGCAAAACGTCTGACGGAGATAGAAAAACGTCTTACTGCTTCCATCAAGGACGGAACGACCACGTTTGAGACTGAGACAGCGACCAAACTGGACAGCCGGTTGGATGACCTCGAGAAACGGCTAGAAGAATCAAAGACAAATGATACAGATGTGCAGGAGACGAAGACAAAGGTAGAGAAGATGGGAGAGACGCTAGCGATCCTAGAAAACAATTTGTCATCTGTTAGTGAAGTCGCAAGCACCGTGGGACAACGTCTGGCTGCCTCTTCAGAGAAAAATGAAAAGGACATGAACAAAATTATCTCCAGGTCAGCAGCAACTGACCACAAAGTGACTGCTATTGAGGAAAAGGTCGGAGCCATGAAATCGAAACTTACTGATGTGGAGAGCAACTTTCAAAAGCTTGAAGCAGGTACGACAACGAAATGTAGTTTTATGACAAAAGCACTTTGGCCTTCTGTGAAATCGAAAATATATTTCGAAGTTTTGCCAAATGTTCAACGAAGCAACTTAAATGAAACAATATCGATGCAACTAATGCATTTCCTCAAATTAAAATTTCATAGTTGTGACATGACCACAAGAATGTGACTACGCATAATCAATAGAAGGTAATCTTACATGTTTTATGCTACTTCATGAATAAATAAATTTAAGGTAGATGCATTGTCTTTGCAGTGGTGAAGAGCGCGAAATTGGCACATGATGACAAACAACGAGGCAAGTAAAATTGTTTTAATTTCATATTATCAATTGTATATTATTTAAAAAAACACTGTGCTGAGGCAAGAGTGTCTACGAGCCCATAACAAAGCCTAGTGTTTACTCTTGCCATGTGATCCTGCTTATCTGGGCTCGATCTCGGGGCCACACAATGTATAGCATTATTTATGTCCCTTGTGATGAAAACGCGATTTTCAATCAGATCGCTGTTCTTATGTGGAATGGCTTCACAGAGATGACTACCAAGGCATAGGACCGGATCGATCAGATATGAAAAAGAATTAAGACACTGCAATTGGCGTTCACTCATTTGAGTAAAACACTATGAAGTTTGCACTCAAATATATAAGAGTACTTGGCCGAGTTGATTGAAAACTTGAACCACTTTGAAAATATTTGGCTTAGGTTAATTTCTGGAATAATTTCAGCATTCAATTTCAAATTCAACAAGCTCTGGCTGTGGCCATAGCAGCAACCAGGTTTTCGCAACACGAATGTTGATTTTGTAAAACGTTCTCTAATTGGACAATATATATGTGCGATGGTCCTCTCACATTTTAGCACAGAAAAGTAGGCATGAAATGGAAACTGGAAACTAGACTTTGGTATAGGCTAGTGGATACCCCTGTCTCGGGAAGATGGGGGAAGGACGGAAGCCCAAGAAACTCACAGTAGACCTTTTGAACAGTCATCCATTCACCTACTCTCCGCTACGAACTTGACCTGATTTGTGACATGTGCGCTGTACAAATGAGCACGTGTCACAACAATAATGTGCCATCGGATATTGAACGGGTTTTGTCGCTTTATTTACGTTCGAAACCCTGGATGACCTAGGTGAACCTGTGTTGAGGTATAATCCAACTGATTGATGTCATACTTCGGTTGACGTTAGTTGCCCATACCAAATTAATATAACCTCCCCGTTGCGGAACTCCTGTTAGCAGTCTCCAAGTGACGTCATTGATAAAGATAATTAGTGTCATCTATTGATTCAATCATGAATAAAAGCATTTTAATAAATGTGCTTACCTAGATACATAGATCGATAGTATAAATATATGTGACTTTTGATTCTTGATACAAATAATTTAGAATCAGTAATTCAACGATGAAAATGATGATTTTAATCGCTCTTTGATGTTCTACGCGTTAATTAGAACGTTCTTATCGTATTACTTGCTTTAAATAGAATAGGTACAATGAAGCAGTTAAGCATTTGTTAACCCCCCATGGCTGTTATGTTTCACATTCTCCTGTCAAATATTATTACATCTAATTAAGGTTATTTCTAATGCGTTTGATTTTGGACACTGCCCTATGTTATCCTTGATTAGATAAGACTGAAGTCATCCCTGTTTTGCCAAAAATGTGGTATCCTCAGTTGACTAAGATCACTCAAGTTTAAATAATCGAAGCTACGTTGTGGTTCTTATTTCGCTTCCAGTTACACTGATTGAAATGAATGAGTTGACAAATGGTATTACTCCAAGTCAAATGATAATTGATTGATGTCATATTCCGGCAGACCTTAGTTGCCCATACGGGGCACGGGTAGCCCAGTCGTCTGAGGCTTCGCGATTCGCTGTGCAGAGTTGCGTCTCTTGGGCACGCAAGAAACCCATGATTGCGGGTTCGAATCCTGCTTCGCCCCGATAATGTTTCTAGGTTTGTCTGTACCATACCCGTGCTCGTGGGTTTCACCAAAGTGGTAAACGTCTGAGGCCTGCATCATTTCGGGCTTTCCTCCTACATTAAGCTGACACGTCGTCATATAGCTTGAATACTGTTAAAAGCGGCGTTAAACCCAACTCACTCACTCACTCACTCCCTATTTGCCCATACCAAATGAACCCCTTGGTTGCTGTACTCCGGTTAGCAGTCTCCAAATTTGTTTCATTTCTTGATTCAATCATGAATAAAAGCATTCTAATAAATACACTTAATTAGATCAATAATAAGTACATATGTATTCTGATATGCTTCAGGAAAGTATGTTGTGGGTCAGTAAGAATTTCTTGTTCCCATGTAGAGAATTTTAACGTCGGTTATCGGTGTGACAAGCAAATGCATTAACTACTAGTCTACCCCATACAACCTCTTATTCCTCTACAAAACTAGTGCATCCCATTTAAAATGGATTCCTCCCAAAGCTCATTGTGATGGAGGTGTATATGAGGGTGAGAGGACGACTCGTTCGTTTCACAGAAGGGGTAAACGTCAGAGGCACTTCGAGCATTCATCCCACATTAAGCTGACATGCCGTGATATAGCTGCGTATTGTTCAAAGCGGCGTTAAACTCTTCATACTCACCATTATTGTTATTTTTTCAGGGAATAAGGGGACTGGCGTCAGAGCAGGAAACGATGCTACAGGTAAATGTTATATTACTACTTTCCACATTGTTCTACATCTCGAGGATTGGTATTGGTCATATAGAATGGACGTGAAATTATGTCAGGACATCGAGCATGTCGGTTATGTTGCTGAAAGTATTTGTCAATCCGCAGTCCCTTGATTTATGAAATAGGCCTAGCTTTGGAAATCAAAGTGTATCTAATAGCCTTTGGGTTTTCCAAGTTCAACATGGATCGATACTCATGATATCAAACAAACTCAGTCAGGTAAGCTAAACACGTATCGTGTATCTAATGGCCTTTGGGTTTTCCAAGTCCAACAGTTCTTACCACACGATACATGTTTAGCTTACCTTACTGAGTTTGTTTGATATCATGAGCATCGATCCATGCAACAGAAATACAAAGAGATGTCATCAACCAAATCACCGGAGACACGCACCTGATCCATTTGGTTGACGGGAAGCCATTTTGAGCTTGATTAAACATTTCTAAATTCTCCTACAATGTTGATTGCGACTTCCCAAAAAAGCAAACAGTACGTGTCCAATGTGTGGTGAATGTTGGCACATTCCAACACAGCTCTCTAATTCGACAATGTCACAGGCTTAATATGTTTTGTTTTTTGTATACATCACCTGACTGCCCTATAATTAAAGTCGCCACGCACAACCACTGGTTGTTGACTCCGTCTCCCAACATGGTAATGTTTATATTGTGATCCTTAGATCTTATGGAGGTAATAGACCCGAGGAACGCCGCCAAACTGGTCGTTTAGCGCGAATACCTTCAACGCGTAAACGGTTCTTCACCGTCTAGGCTGATATTCTACGCAATCTTGGTATTGCCGGAATGATACCGAATTTTCGTGTCTATATTTTTGGGGGTTAACTTTTTTATATCTTAAAGATTTTCCAAACACGACACTACTTTTTTAGTCTCAAATACAAGGGGTGGTGGATTGTCTCTGTGTGTTAGGAAGGGAGAAGTTACATTTCAAGGTTTTACATTTGTAATGAAATATTTTAGGTTTCGGGTAGACAACTACCCAAAAAGTATATAATAAATAGGCTATTCCACGTGTCTCATGAAATGTCATATAGCTGCGTATTGATCAAAGCGGCGTTAAACTCTTCATACTCACCATTATTGTTATTTTTTCAGGTAATATGGGGACTGGCGTCAGAGCAGGAAACGATGCTACAGGTAAATGTTATATTACTATTTTCCACATTGTTCTACATCTCGAGGATGTTATGATTGATATTGGTCATATGGAATGGACGTGAAATTATGTCAGGACATCCAGCACGTCGGTTATGTTACTGAAAGTATATATTTGTCAATCCGCAGTCCCTTGATTTATGAAATAGGCCTAGCTTTGGAAATCAAAGTGTATCTAATGGCCTTTTTGGTTTTCCAAGTCCAACATGGGTCGATGCTCATGATATCAAACAAACTCAGTCAGGTAAGCTAAACACGTATCGTGTATCTAATAGCCTTTGGGTTTTCCAAGTCCAACAGTTCTTACCACACAATACGTGTTAAGCTTACCTGACTGAGTTTGTTTGATATCATGAGCATCGATCCATGCAACAGAAATACAAAGAGATGTCATCAACCAAATCACCGGAGACACGCCACTTGATCCATTTGGTTGACGGGAAGCCATTTTGAGCTTGATTAAATATTTATAAATTCTCCTACAATGTTGATTGCGACTTCCCAAAAAAGCAAACAGTACGTGTCCAATGTGTGGTGAATGTTGGCACATTCCAACACAGCTCTCTAATTCGACAATGTCACAGGCTTAATATGTTTTGTTTTTTTGTATACATCACCTGACCTTTTACCTGACTGCCCTATAATTAAAGTCGCCACGCACAACCACAGGTTGTCTCCCAACACGGTAATGTTTATATTGTGATCCTTAGATCTTATGGAGGTAATAGACCCGAGGAACGCCGCCAAACTGGTCGTTTAGCGCGAATACCTTCACCGTCTAGGCTGATATTCTATCTTGGTATTGCTCTAGTTGTAGAGGTGGCCGTGGTGGTTGTTGCAGGGATCTGTCCTGTGTTCAAGTAGTTATACATGATCGACCGGATCTGTGAAGGTCTTGTTTTGTTCCGTTTGACTGAAACGGTTCAATAGTTCTGTAATGGTGCTTGGTGCTGCATCTACAGCTGAAGATGATTCTCCTGTTTGTAGTCGGCCGATGGCGTGGTTGCGTTTGGCTTCTGTCAGTCGCGGGATGTATTCGCTGTTCACTTGCTGTAAGATTGTGATGGCATAAAATGAAAGCCCAACGTTTTCATAGCCCGATAAAAGATGTTGCACGTGCTTGTCTTACTGGTGTGTTCCGGCGCCAGGCCCTCACATGGTTGTGTTTTTGCGATTGTTCCTAAACCATGCAGATATGATCAATCCATTTTTGGTACAAACAAATCAGTGGTTTATATTATGAGCAACGTACTAATGATTGACAATGTTCTTTACTATTAGACGCACGGTGTCCATCCGACTTTACCTATGATCAAAGTACCAAACTCTGTCTGAAGCTCCTGAGAACACCCAAGACGAGTTCAGATGCCAATATTGACTGTTTGATGCAAGCAGATGACGGAAGGCTGGTCCAGATGGAAACCCGGGAAAAGCACATTGCTGTTGTAAATTTTCTTCACACGCAAGGTAATATGACATGCATAACTTTAAACCTTATATCAATATTCAATCTACAGACTCCATTTTAAATCGAACATATTGGCCAAAAGGATAAATACAACTCGTTCATCGAAACGAAAGGATAATACGAGACATGATTTCATGCACAGTGCACATTCGACCGTCATCAACACAAATTAATTTATTTCAGTGATATTGTTTGTGTGATTACATAAATACTGTAAAAGATAAATAAGATCGCCCTACCCTCATTAATAAAATGAGACGCTGAGATACAGATCAGGATCAAGAATATTCTTTTATTGGATATCAAATCTTTTAACATTTGTTATTAATGTTACTTTTCAATTGGAGTAATTGTAAATATTTCTCGTTCGCAGTATCTTAAAGTCAGTTTTAAACAAATTGGATAGAAAAGGTCTTTGAATGACACTAAGAAACAATAGACATACGAGAGACAATTTATAGATGTCATATGGAGTATATGCTTACTCCTTCATAAGGTGAATGAATGAATTCTAAGATGTAGAGGGCATGTATTCATTATAAACTTCAGTTTGAAAGGCTGAGTTTTCCGAAGTTGAGAAAAGTGATATTTTCATTGCAGTTAACAGAACACTTGATATTTCACTGCAGTGAACATAACACTTGATATTTCACGCCTGTAAACATTACACTCTGACGGAACTATTGTCACACAAGAGTTACCTCCCCTCAAATTGTCTACCTTTATCGTAAATGTCTTGCCCGTACACAAACTGTCGACTTCCTTTTGACGTTAGTGTCACATTGACAAGGCAATATATTGACAGATGGTCATTTATGGAGTTAATATCTCTTCATGTGTTTGTTGTTCTCTTGAAAATGTTTCGTTATAAACTGTACATTTCTCATTTAACTCGTCAATTGAGACCGTTCGTTTCGCAAAGCGCCATTTTTGTTACTTGATCCGCATGTATTCTTTCGCTTCCAACAACGGTCTCCTAGTAATCAAGAATATTGACTTATCAAAGTTGATTTTGTATATAATCAATGTGTATGATACCGAATTTCCGTGACTATGTTTTTTTTATATCTTAGAGATTTTCCAAACACGACAATACTTTTTTAGTCGCAAATACAAGGGGTGGTGGATCGTCTCTGTGATTTTGGAAGGGAGAAGTTACATTTCAAGGCTTTACGTTTGTAATGAAATAATTTAGGTTTCGGGTAGACAACCACACAAAAAAGTATATAATAAATAGGCTACTCCATGTGTCTCATGAAATGTCATGTTTCTCTCATCTCGTGATGGCGGAAAGGGAGATATTTTCACGAGCCACTCGATGAGAGAAACATGGTATTACACTGGACACATGAAATATCTTCTATATGTTCACGTAAAAACAACACCAGTAATAACATAACAAAGATGGAGAACAGGGGAGCCACAAGCCGATAACCGCTGGGCAGATGGAAGCCAGGACTTAATCTGGCACTGATTGGTAATAACCAATGTACAAATTGAATTCAGAGGAACTGGCAACGTCGGTCTCGGAGAGTAGTTGGATGGGTGGGCATGGTGATTCTGACGGGTGATCGGCAGGTCTTTGCTCGGAGTTCTTGAGGATCTAGCTTTTTGATGGTTTTAGAAACTAGGTGGGCATGGATACTTTTGAGGGAAGTAAAGGTTTACTTGAGATGTTTCAGTTCACACCCAGAGGGCAAATGAAATTAGCACGTCGGGTGAGGGTGGCTATGATGGCAGGAATTATCTCGGCATGGTGGATAGGTATTAGTGGTACTGGTCTGAGGTGGTTGGCTTTCGGTGCACTGATGTTCTTAGTCCATCTTCTGTATTTTCGAGGGGCACGTCTATGATGAACAGGTGTTGATTGGTTTCTGTCGCCATTGCGAAGTGATTCTCTGGTACTGGGTATTGCGATGATACCTTCCGGTGGAATGGAGCTGGGGAGAGGACTAATTCTTTGATAAATTTCATGACGATTTCAGTGATGAGTGACGTAAGGGATACTGATGAAGGAGTAAGCACATACCCAAAAATGTGGTGTTCCCAATAATAAAGAAGTTTAAATCCATAAACCCTCTCTTGTCTTGGATAGATATGTTAAAACATGCCTAGACAAATGTGTAAACTACAACCAACATGGTAAAGAAATATTATGTAAATGCATGTCCTCAATTTATGACACAGATAAACGTTTCTTTGGATATTTCGTACAGGGCACAACAATTGGCTTATATAGACCACTGCCCTAGGTTACATTCAATTATCTTTATAGGACAAAGATCAGATGTCTTCGTTGGAGGTGTTCGAGACAATGGCAAGTACACATGGTTGGATGGAACCGAGATCACGAACGGTAACTGGTGCCCTCATCAACCTGAGAACAGAGACTGTGTGAGCCTGTGGCGTGCAAGAGGCTTCTGCCTAGACGACTCATGGTGCTCAGGAAGGAACCCTTACGTATGTGAGGTCCCTCTCGAGTAAAAGAGAAGGCTGCACGGGCATTTTCGAGACGTCCTTTGAATGTTTTCAACTGAATAAAATATTCTGCATGGCCTTTTACTTAATAATGTATTTCGGATTTAACATGATCCTTTCACCATCCCCAAAACATATAACTTTGAAAACTGAGTGTGTTCGTTCTTTTATTATTTCGGCTGTATGACAAATGTGACTTGCACGAGGAAGATAGGAGTTGATGGCACAATAATATAGGAATGAGAGATACATATGTCGAAAAACTGTTGACACAATCTAGACAAAGAAATTGATAGGCTATCAAGATGTTAACACATCTAGGAAGCGTAAACGCCAGAGTACAATCAGTCTTCCGAAACAATCTCCACTGGATTTTTAAGGTCGAATAAAGGTGGCAATTTTTATGAATGGATCACTGAAGATCAGTGTTTACGCATTGTAATCGCAAAAGGGTAAGTACGTCCTGCCCTATCAGTTTGTATAAAAAGTAAGTGTTTGTTGTTCAGTGTCGCACAGCAATACTCCTGCCATTCGACTGCTGCCTGTAAACAATCGAATATTGAATATGAATGCATCTGAATATGAACCAATTGATTCGCTGAATCTATTATTTCCACATGGTGCCACGAACCAGCCTTTGTACCATCAACATTAGTTTGTTGACCCAATATCGGTAAACTTGGCAAATAAATTCACCTGTTGCTATTGTTTATGGGCAACATAACTACTGTGTGTGTGTGTGTGTTATCAACGCGTTAGCTTAACATTTTTTATTTACAACGAACTTAATTAAGTTGTATTTTTTAAATAATTTTATAAGCATAACTTTCATATTTATAAACCATAGGATCAGACCTTTCAAATGGTGTATAACATGTAGAAGCAAAGATAGTTTACAAGCAGTTTTTTTCTTTGATAAATGTTGGCTTATTCTATCACACAAAAATCTCTGGGAACTCGGTGTCCCAGCAGTAAACACTTCTGGTTGACTGGTGTTGAAAGAGTTAATATAGTAACAACATATCACATGATTGCGGGGTTCAACACATACATATATGTTCTGATTTGTTTTAGATATTTGACATTTTGATCTTGATTAAAACTTTGACCGTGGTCTTAAATTCTCTCAAAATGTCTTTCCTCTCACTGCAGACATCCTCGGCTAAGAGTGCGCTAAAACAAAGAAGTTCAAAACGTCAAATGATTGTTCCAAATCATGGTTGAATAGTTTTGAGTCTGATTTCCCAACTGTATGGCTATTTTCAGCCATTCTTGTTCAAAATGTAATTCCCTTTGAACTATGGGTGGTCTGTACGTAAAACATCTCATTCCTCTGTTATTGTATCATCAACTCGTTTCTTCCCCACGCAAGTCAAACTTGTCACGACAAATCATGCACTATATCATCAAGGGTATGGAGCCATAGACAGGAAGAAATGAGTCGATGGTACACTGGAGTTTTGTGAATGCCTTGACATACATTCGAGAATATCCCATGAATGATTCGAGGTATCCTGGATAGATTTTGGAATCAGATTTGGTATGTTGTCTTATGACTGACGTGTCCAGCAGTCGTGTCAGTGAGTGATAGCGCACCTAGGAGAAGGGTGGATAAGACGACATGACGTCATTAACAGGTGACGAACTTTTATTGCCATTTGTTGAAACGGCCACTTACGCATCTGCTCAGCCACCGTCTGTAACCGGACCAATGGAATCACAGTAAGCCCATCGTGCGAGGGCACGGCCCATCTCGCCTAAGAGGGCAACCTGTGTTGTGTGTGTGTGTGTGTGTGTGTGTGACGTACCCACAGGCTATAAACCACATGATGACCTGTGTATATGTTGCTTGTAAGAGTGTAGTTTTGTTATTAACCCATATGACTAAGTATTATTGTAACACTCCTACCCAAATTTGGGCTAGATCTCGCTAATTTGTATCTTACTTTTACATATTGTTCCGTGGGCTAGTGGTAGAGCGTCTGCCTGATGAGTGGAAGGTCGGGGGATCGATCCCGGCCACGTCGTTACAAAATACGTTAAGAGATGGCACTTGCTGTTACCCTGCCTGGCGCTCAGTATTAAGGGGCTAAGACAAGGACTGGCCTTATGATGTGTCTTAGCGGGTTATTCCTGTAAACTGCGGGATGGTATCTCTGTGGGCTGGCACTATAGAATCGTCATTAGTCTTGACTCCTACAAGCAGCCACACTCACACACGTGCATGCAGGTCGCTATATAAGTGCAATAATCTTGAACGCGACGTTAAACACCATTGCACCTCACCGCCTCATATTGTAAGTGTTATGTCAAACAAATCACAACCATTTGAGGGAAATCGTTTTTATTCCAATTCCAAAAGCAATTACCCGTTATCATCCCATATTTGAAATGTAGATCTATCGAATTTATTAGTTGTGAGTCAAACACATTTGATGACACAAAAGTGAGATGAGCATAACCCTAATGGCATAGAACACCTACAAGCAAAAGTAGTGAATTTAGAATGAATGGTATCACTATCCATGCATCAAGGACATTTAAGTATAAGTAGGGTACCTATGGTTCAATAGTTTGGCAAGCTGGATGTTGTAAGGTCTGTAGAAGTCGTCTAACAGTTGACGTGTCTCATTCCTCGCTTGAAAACGTGTTTCTCCTTTATTGTCTTTTCCCCTCTTCTGCATTTGTTGAAATTCCGATCTAGACACAAGACCTGACAAAATAAATGACGTTTATTCAGTGAACAATGTAGATGCCTATGGCAAACTTCAATTTAATACTTGTTGAATGACAAACAACCGAAAACCTGGGATTTGCAAACTTTATAAAGACGATAATGTAACCTAACGAAACGATAATGTTTTCTTCGCAATATCAGTCTATTATTCAATTATTATAAAACAGACAATAATATTCAGATTTGCATGGATCTATTCCCGCACGATAAGATTACTAGCAGTTATTTCCACAAGTGACAAATCGATTTTCAGCGAAATTGGAGTGTACGACCAAAGCCAAATCTCACGAAAGTAACATAGTTGTTTGATATTTTGTTTCATGTCTGATTTTAAAAAAAAATACATGAGAATAAATCTTACTTAAGTCCAGAAACTCAAATATTTTTGAGAAAGATATATAAGGATCATCACGGATGTCTTCCAGTCTTGCGATCAAAATCTGTTCTTGAGGGAAAACTTTCATCCAGTCACTGATGACCACATGGTACAGACCAGTCCAAACCTGACATAAATGTCCAAAGGTAGGAAAACAGTATTGATAATGTACATTTAACATAGAAAAAATTGCGACATTGCCAAAATCTAATTTCAGCCAAAGCATAAGAGTGAGTGAGTGAGTTCGGTAATATTTCAGCCATAAAGTGAACAAGTTATACAATATTTAAAAAAAAACTGTTGACGAAGGACAGCATAATAATAAGTAGCAATATATCACAATCTGACCTAAAATTAGTTGTAGAACATTAAAAATATCTGATTATTGGGGTACGACACAATATAAAAATGGGGCTATAGATCACCAGCAACAAGGTTAAAATCACCACACAAGGGACCAGGGGTTCTTATGGTACCTCTGCTACCTGCGTGGTTCCCCAGCAGGATTTACACTTCCCTAAGTTACTGGTTATTGTTGAATGTTTGGCCATAGAATAAAAAGTGAACAAATATTCTGCAGTTAAACTGGAGGTAGATATAAATATACTTTGAAAGAAGTGGTCTTACAAACCCTCTAAGGGTGACAAAGCATAATAACTACAGGTATATACACATGATGCTATACATTGGAGTGAGTGAGTGAGTTGGGTTTAACGCCGCTTTTAACAGTATTCCAGTTATATCGCGGCGTGTAAGCTTAATGTGGGAGGAAAGCCCGAAGTGATGCAGGTCTCAGACGTTTACCACTTCGGTGAAATCTACGAGCACGGGTATTGTGCGGACAAACCTAGAAACATAATCGGGGCGAACCAGGATTCGAACCCACAATCATAGGTTTTCTGCGTGCCCAACAGACGCAACTCTGCACAGCGAATCGCGGCGACTTAGACGACTGGGCCATCCGTGCCCCAGCTATATACATTGGAAGAAATCTTAATAGAAAAGTAAAGTGCTTGTTCACTGAAGATGCAAATCTAATGTGGCACATTCTCGGTGCATAAACAAGAACCTAAGGATGATATATCGGTTTTAAGTCCACACGGGTCATATAAGGTAAATTAAATATAAAACCTTTCAAAACCCTCCTGAATCGCCAACTGTATGCCAACAGTGTTTGCTCTGATTTGCGAAACAAAAGGTGCCATTTTCAGCAGGCGCTATATGCCATTACATATAAAGACAACTACCCATTTCAAACATTCCATTATCTACTCGAATATCTGAAGAAACATAGTTCATAAGGGAAAACGGCAAAATAGTGATGACAATTAAAGGAATGGATCGCTCAACGTCAGTGATAGCACCATGTGTTCGCACATGCTAGGCATGTTCTGCCAGTTTACTGACCTTGACATTTCAATTTCAATCAATCCCATGCCTGATGGGTGATATCTCTTGCAAACAGATCATACAAAACACAGGGGCTAGTTCAGTACAGACAGAACCAGAAGTTCCATACGAATGAACATGTATCTGACCTTGACATTGAAGGTCACTCAAAGTCATACCATTGCGATACCTAAGGGGGTTATGTACCAAATTACATTTTACTTGTCGAGTCTTAAAGTGTTTTTGAGTGTGTGACCTTGAAAGTGACTTTCAATATAAGATGCAAATAGTTTAGGCACTACTACTACTAATATCACTGATTGTTATCATTTGTCTCACATATGGGACATACCATTTGAAAGGGTGGGAAGTAACCTGATTACATATTTTGGTCTTTTATTTCGTATCTTACAATAATCCTAGTTACAGTTTTCATAATGATTAAAGTGATATTCCAAGTCAAGCACCAGGTATGGTATGAAAACAGAACAAGGGTAAGTTATCTATATGTGAAAGAAGTGAATGAGTTAGGGAGTGAGTGAGCTACAATTTAACGTCGCATCGGCATTATTAAGGCCATAAAGCGACGAGACCAAGTTCGTATATTCAAAAGTAGGTCATAGATGCAAGGTAATATTTAGAAAAAAAAAATTCAAACATATTTGGGCATGACAATATTATTCCAAGTTGATATATACATATGTATACATGAATACAGAGTTACATTTAAATATATTGAAGGAAGAAATTAAACATTACTTGAATTCTCTTTTCGTATAAACAAGTCCTCACAGACGAAATTGATAAACACTCTTCAAACGCTCTTATCTCATTAACCACTTCTTTGTGGAAGCTCTCTGCCGTCACATGTGGATACTCGAGGGTCATATAGTTATACGCAGATATCATCCTGAAATGAGAGATGAAACATAAATTTTGGTGTATTTGATCGTTAGTACTCGCACATGCAATGTGTGTTTGTTGTGAAATGTCGTTGCAAGAAATGTCCAGCTTTTAATTATTATCATGGCGGCCAGTAGACAAATGAACAAACAAACCAGTGAAGCATAATGTGTGCTATGTCCCATGCTGTTGTGTATGATCAACACAATCAACGTCGCCACAGTCTGACCATTCTTCTCTTACGGCAGTAATAAGTTACTTGGAACCACTTTTTTTATCCGACCCGTGAAGATTCCGGGATGGAATAGGTCTTCAGCAACCCATGCTCGACGTAAAAGGTGACTATGCTTGTCGTAAAAGGCGACTAACAGGATCGGGTGGTCAGGCTCGCTGACTTGGTTGATGCATGTCATTGATCCCAATTGCGTGGATCGATGCTCATGATATTAATCACTAGATTGTCTGGTCCAAACTCGATTATTTACAGACCGCCCGCCGTCCTATAGCTGGAATATTGCTGAGTGCGGCATTAAACAACAAACCAACCAACCAACCAACCACTTTTATTCCACAATCTCCGGAGTTGAGTATCTCAGACAGAGAATGAGAGTGAGATTGAGAACGGTTGGAATTTTATGACTTTAAAGTAGGGAAAGTATTTCAGATAAAGTGTAGCAAAGGCATCAAACTGACCTGTCTGTTGGGTTTCTGATCATAATGATGATTTTAGTTGAGGGGTAAAGATGATATAAATAGTGTGGATTGAGGACCCGAGGCTCTGTACAGTTATAGTTACCGGGCATGTAACGCCACTTCTCGTTACCATTGATTGTCGTTGGCGAACCATCACCTTGTGGCAAAGAAAAATGTACCTTTAATTGGGAGCATTTACACATTCCTATGAATGACACGTTTGCCAAAATAATGTCGGATGAAGTACATTCGTCTTGTCATATACTGTGAAAAGATACCGGCTATAGCTCGCATGTCTATGGATAAAGCGTCAACACAGATCACCATCTATTTATTATACCTGCTGTGGATTTTGATATTAAGAGTGAATAAGTGGCTTGACGCTGCTTTTAACATTATTCCAGATATATCGCGGCGTGTCAGCGTAATGTGGGAGGAAAGCCTGAAGTGATGCAGGTCACAGACAAGATAAAGAACAACATTATGGAAAACAAGTTCTGGTTTAAGCAAAAAGCGACGTTTCGATGTAGTTTCTTACTCCCTTATCAAGCTCACCAATATCTAGAACGACTAGAAACGTAACTGTGATTCGATCCACAATCATAGGTTCCTGGGGTGCCCAAGGGACGCAACGCCTAAAACAACTTGGCAACCCATGCCCCTGATATTAGGAAGGCAGCTTAATTATAATACAATCCTAATTATAGTTTTGTATACAATACTGTATGCCATCCTTTGTCAGAGTAAAGCCTAATGCGACAGATACCTATCCTTTTTGGGATATGGATATGGTGCTGACAAACTATTGTCCATTACCAATTCCGGGATTCCTACCACCAACAGCAACAAGTGTTTTACACAACATAATGTGATGCCTGAGGTCACTGGGCCAGCTGTGCTCAAAATGTATATAATAATGAAGAAGCAGTATATCTGTACAATCTGATTCCACAGTGAAGCATCCTACCTGTAATGACGTGGTGGAATGTCTGGCCTGAAGGTGAATCTGTGAGCACACGACTTTCTATTTCTTTGGCAGCTGTGGAAAATCTGTCCGCAAACCTTCGGATATTTGAACTTTCTAAACAGTAAGACTACAATTTAGGAGTGAAATAATCATAATTCCATATACATATTCTTGTTGCTATTGTTACGAGGTTAACTCAGAAATCAGGACGCACTAGCTAAATTGTGAAATCAGTAAATGACCACACACGTTTAATGCATAATCAATAACTGTATAATAATCAATTTTACGTTTACAAAAAGGCAATACAATGGATCAAATTTATGGGTGCGGCAATAGGTAACAGACCCTATAATCAATGTAAGATTTGTCTTAAAAATGCTTTCCCAGAATGCAGAATAGTGTTGGAAGCAGGCAGGAATTCGGCTTTGACCAAATAGGTATCTAATCCGCACTTGGCAACAAGATCGCAAAAAGGGTTCTATTCATACACTTCTAGAACTAGAAGTCTGCTAAGTTCATGCACACCACAACTGCCGATAATTCTAATTCTCGAGACAGCATATCTGGCTTGGGAAATAACATGTCCAGTGCAGTACAATTTGTATCAGAAAGTAATACTGATCGAGCTTGCATACCATATGCAGTGCGACTCATTGATGTATACAGAGAATATTGCACGAGTTGCCGTCAGATTCCATTTATATTACAACGAGTGGTCTTGGAAACGTATCTAATAGCGTGCTGTGCAGCATATATAATCGACAGCCTTCGATAATAAAACAATTCTCCACTAAGTCCAATATTTGATTCCAACTATGTCATTAGCATGAGCTAATGAATCCTATCAAAACGTGATTATACCAGGTGTTCGAAAACATTGGCGACACCCGATACAAACACATGCAAAGCCTGTGTGTCCATTCCCTCGGTATTGGGAACTAATTACATAGATGTATTGTATTGTATTGTATTGTATATGAAAATATTTTTCTTCATAAACCAAGCCAAAAAAGCAATGATATCATTAAATAAAAGCACAATCTACCTTTGAACCTTTTCGCAGCAATCCAATGGGTTTCCTTTCCCTTCGGTGCGACGGTCTCGGGATGACTAACAATGGTGCTGAAGGTGAGGGTCGTTCCGCATTTGTGAAAACCAACGAGGTGAAAGTACGGAATGCATCGTAAGGCACGTGTAGTGTCTTCAAACCAACATGGGTTCTTATAGTTTGAGAGGAAGGCGGGTTTCTTCTGCAACATGGCAGAGACAAATAACATTAGTCGGGCCAAATCATTCGGCCACCAACCGTGTAGGCGAGTGTGAAGGCACAACTCAATAATGTATGAGGGATTTGACTTTTATCCACATACAGCGAAGACAGTGTTGTTTAGGCCGCAATGTCCTTTACAATTGTTAGCCAATAATGCACGTATTAGTTTTGGTGATTGGGCGATTAAGATTATTATTGCCTGTGCAACCTATAGACACAATGCAATTCAGAGATAATTATGAAACGTGTGATGTGAATACCTCCCGGTGGTACGTTGTCACATACGCGAGAATACATATTAATAGTTTGTTGTCAATTCTGATAGAACACATTGTTGGGGAAGGATACGCTTACCTATCACCTAGTATCATTTAATTTACTATATGATGTTGATTCACTGACACATGCTTATGATATGGTGGGAATTATACAACTGATTCCTTTTGGTAGAAATGTTTTATGAATATTAACTGACGGAGTTTTTTTGTAGACGAAAAAATGTAATGCAAATTATAGAGCAATATTATCGTTCTCAGTATATGAGGATCATGACAATTCAATGTCTAAGTATAATATATTCATATGTCAGTTTATGAACCGAGTAAGTTGGTATTTATACATGAAGTTGCAGCGTCAAGACATCAGCCATAAAGTTATATTTTCATTACAAAGCTGGCACAGTAATACAGCAATGTATATAACTACAGCCGCAACCCGCTATCGCGAAATAACCGATATCTCTTCTGTCCCGACCGCCTCAACATATAATTACGAATTAATTTTTCTCGAATTCGAGATAAAAATACAAAGCGAATCTTGATGTGACTGACTGTCCATGTCTCGCTATCTCGAATGTTCGGTATTCTCGAAGTTCCAACACGGTTCCCCAAGGTTCCAACACGGTTCCAACACCGGTCCCGACTCCACCCTGAACCGAATATTTCTTCTCCAGTTTGCAGATGATATTGTGGTTGCTTCTGATACGATATTATTCGAAAATGAAATAGATGTTGTTCATTTATCAGCCTGTTAACGATTCCAAGGAGCTAAAACGTAATGAGAATCTAAGCTAAAATATTTAAAAAAGATCATTTAAGAGATTTATTCAAATACGGCTTTGGTTATACCACAGGAGTCCGTATCTAAAATCGCCCTTCGGGCTCGCGTGTGGAGATGGTCATGACACTGCAAACACGAAAACGTCGTTTTTTTCCGTATATGGTCATTGGACGGAAAAACGACTAAAAATTCATTAAAATTGATTAATTGGTCAGCGTCTAGAAAGTGTCCAGAAAAGGGTCGAGTTTTTCAAGCGTAAAATGGACGGAAAAACGATGCTTTTTGCTCCGCCTTGTACAACTGTTAACGGCCAATCAGATGGCGCTGGTCCCCCGACGCACGTGATGTCCAAGGCTTCCTTTCGGAAGCTTTAGGTTTCGTATTTATGGCATGCCTTGCTCTAGTATCTGTCGCGCGCAGTGCAGCGAGATTTGCTGATAAGCTAGTTTTAGGATATGTTACATGTTAATGGAATTCAGACACGCGCCAAGAAGTCAAACCAAACAATGTTACTAAGTTTATTGTGGTAACGGCTATGTACAGTTACCCCTATCGGATAATGGGTTGTGTTTCATTTGGTTATAACAATAACTAATTTTTTAATGTGAAGTTTACAAGATTTACGACTTGGACGCGAGATCGGTCACATGACGTTCTTCACGTGACTGTATTCTTGAAAAGGCGTAAACACTGACTACTTCCACATTCCTGGGGAAAACCCTTGGAATTCCCTGGTACGAATTCATACAGAAGCGTGGTTGCAAGCCCATTTAAGGATACCCTCGCTACAACCACTCCAAGAGAGAAAAACACGAAAAAAAATCCAAACTGTCGCAGTGACAATTTACAGAAATCTATGAATTTACCTTAGTATCTATTTGACACATCTTCACAATCACCTTTCAATGATCGGCCAATTGATCAGTGATGCCAAAGGCTTGAAATAGCCACAGGTTAATTAACAACTTCGAAAATATCTCCCGTCACGTTTATCGTGTCGGCCATTTTGACGTATTGTACTTGATGTAAATGTATTACGACGCTCTGTCATTGTAATTGACTTACTGAGGTAATTCTGTAAAAGATCTTCTTATCTAATGAGGATATTGTTTGGAATATATTTCTTGTAAACATACTAAAACATATGTTCCTCGCTTTGGGGGGAACTATTTTATTCCGGGGTGGCCCATTAAATCTAGTAGTAAGTCAAGGCACCATGCGTGATCTGTTATTTTATGTGTTTAAATTACGATTTGGGGGAGTTAATAAAATACGCTGACGCAAGTATATTCTATTCAAATCAATTGGATAATTGAATATGCTTTCTTTTACATATTACATAACATCACTGCGCAAAATATTAACAGTTGCAGTAACACACTACGGTAATCGCATTAAACATCATTTTCAACTGTACAGTATTTCAGTATTTCAGTTATATCATGGTGTATCAGACTGATGTGGGATAAAAATCCGATATTTCATATACAACAGACCGCCGTCATATATCACTGGAATACTGCTGAGAGCGGCGTTAAAACAAATTGTTTTCATAATGGAGCGCTGCAGTCATTTAAAATAGAACCGTATACATATGTACATGTAGTACCAACTCACTCTATTTGTTTCGAATATTCAGCAGAAAATATATTATTAACCAGGTCTTTGGGAAAAGATATCAGATTTTTATAAGCAGCCACATAGGGATGATAAAGGACCCCTCGCTGATTAGGTTCTTGTTTACTTAAGAGCAGAGTTGGCCATGTTAGATGATATAACCAAAATCCGGGAGCTCCGGCTGGGGGCAAGCTGGTCTTGTTAGTGTATGGTATGAGCTGTGACGTTGACCCAAGAGAATAATGTAAAACATGAGACCAACTCAAGTCTATAATGATTGGGAAAGTCTAGATTTCCACAGCTCTAGCCTGAAATTAAGAATTGTTCTATGCTTCATTTTAATTGTGTAGACATGGATGGACCAACCAGGAAAGAAATTGATGGAATATTAATATCACATGTTACCACTGATCCAGTTAAATTCATCACACAATAATAAATTAGTATTTGACATTACGGCATTTGATTATTAGGGCATGATCATGTACATGTTCACTGTAGTAATGTACACACCAGTCAACTTGATTATAATTTTTATCAAAGTGTAGCGCGGCATCAACGATTACTTTATGATATCCTCACTTGTCATCGATGTATTGACATCGAACAATGGACGGCAATTCGAAATTCTTATGGATAGCTTCAATAGGGACAGCGCCGGTGTCAGTACAATTTTCCTAGTTAAAATAAGTATCTACAAAATATAATCTGAAGCAGACAAGAACAATATTTTTTTATTAATGCTTACTTTCATGGATAGAATTAACGCAATCTAGGCTTGCCAAATCGTTCTAGACTTGAGCTGGATTCCTTTTAAATCTATTCTGTATGGTCTGGGAGACGAACGGGCGTCAGTATCGCATTGAGAACTGGGACAGCCTTAATGAGTGTAATCGGATATGTTGTGGAGTTTCGGTTTTGGGCTGTTTGCTGAATATATAGAATTGCGAGTTATGTATACTCTGTATTTCGTCATGGTAGCATATATATTTTCTATGTTGCTTTTTGAATTATCCACGAATAATGAGAACTACAATGTAAACCTCTCTCTGGAGATATGCAATAATACTACTGAAGGGCATATCTGAAAAATGGGACTTCTCGACAAATATTTCTTTCTTAAATACTACCCGTTACAGGCATTCTGATCATTATATCATACTTTGTACAGTTTAAAAGTCAAATAATGGCAAATTGTATATCTTTCTACATTTTGAATTAATTATATTTTCTGAAATAAAACCTTAGCATCAGATAGTGATATACACGAATATGATCTATACTATTATAAATGAATTATCAATTTCGTATTATGAATTAGATAAACAGAAATATGATAGTAAAACAAATTATTTTAATCTATTCTTGTGAATAGGTAACGAGAGATCTAGGCAACGCACTAACGTAGCCATTTATGAAAAATGAAATATTAAAAGTTTAGGGGTTTGAACATGCACATTGAATGACAGGGAAGAAAGCAACGCAATAATTAAATTATGAATCAAATTATGTTATATATATAACAGAATATTTAGAAAATATAAGTTTAATTTCTCATTGTTGGAAGGTGTTTATAATTATATAGATTTTGTTTGATTGTTTGTTGTTTGACGCCGCACTCAGCAATATACCAGCTATATGACGGTGGTTCGTAAATAATCCAGTCTGGACCAAACAATTTAGTCATTATCATCAAGAGCACCGATCTACGCATTTGGGATACGATGACATGCATCAACCAAGTCAGCGAGCCAAGTCGCCTTCGTACAAGCATGGGTTGTTGAATGCCTATTCTAACCCGGATCTTCACGGGTATTTTTTTAAATAATAAGGTGCAATGAAGTTCTGTATATGTCCATAATAAGTGTGTATAAGTAGATGGATAATATGTCCATACACGCCAAGTAAATGGTATATGCATTAATTTAAATGCAAATGATTCAATGATGAGTTCTTTCACAAGTCCATATTTCAAGGCATGTATTTGATATTCATAATAACTCCACAAAAGCTACACAATGGCAACAAAACGGTACCAGCATCACAGATACCAATAATACATGAGATACATATAATTACTTTAAAGTTAAAACATGTATCTAAATAGAAAATTAGAAGGATACACTTCCGACATTTTTCGTATTTTGTTTTCGTTTGGAGAGAGAAGTTGTGATTGGTATCTGATGGGTGCAAACAGGTGTTCCCTTCCGCCCAGGCCTTGCGGCAATGCTATAGCCCAAAATGAAACAAGTCTTGTTCAACAGGTTCAGACTCAAATTTCTATCCCACTTGGGCTCTTTTTAA